CTCATACTCCCCCCCCATTTCAATAACATACTATTTACAAACTTATCGACCGAAAAAACATGACTAATTTTTATAAAATCCTGGTCGGAAGTACTTATCCCAACATTAGTAATATACCATGTGGAAAGGGAGTAAACAGATTTACTACTGGGACATATCTGGCACTAAATCAATGAGTAATACACATGTTAGCGGTTTGTAATTACAAATAATTTGCAGGAAATTGGTTTAGAACATGTATTAACATGAATTATAAAGGTCATGGCTAATATAATACTATAATATATTACAGAGATTAGAGTTAGTGTAATTAGCTAGTAACACATACTAAATTATCTAGTAACACATACGATTTTTATGTAAAGCGGAACTTATGGTAGCTACAAAGCTAATATAAACAGATATTTAGGCTTAAAATTACTAAAAATGCAATATAAACAGAATGCCAAAAATGGCGCCAAAACAAAAATTTAAAAATAAATTGACAAAAAGTGCCATTTCATAAATAAAGTTCTTAAACGGAGTAAATCTACGGGTTTTGTCATGGTAGTCAACTATTACGCTTAAAAATCTATTTGAAACAGAATGCCAAAAATGACGCCAAAAGAAAAATTCAAAAATAATTTTAAATTAAGCGCCATTTTAAATGTAAAACGTTTTAAAACAGTTAAAAATTACTATTTTTGTCATTCTAACCAATTATGTCACACTAAATACTACTTGAAACATAATGCCAAAACTAGCGCCAAAACGAAAATTCAAAATTTTCTTTAAAATTCAAACATAAAACTGTACTGTAACCAAAATCAAACCTAATTAACCCATAATCCCACCATTATTACCTGTTATACAAACTTAATCACATAAACCAATATTAAAACGTAAACAATTAACTTTGCTACAGTAACCCGACTAACCGATAAAAAAACCTTGTAGCAAATTGACTTTTCAGAATTCTCACGACCGCTTTATAGCCGAAAAACAAGCATTAGGTAAGGGGATATATTCCCAATGTCTATATAACATTGGGTATATAAGGCATTTAGTTGGGTAAACAATATGTTTTTGAGCTGTCATATTTGGAGTGGGGAGGGGGGGGGGTGATGTGTGATAAAAATGTAAAAAGTAACGTTTTTGGATTTGTTAAAGATTTTTAGTACTGTAACTTTATAATAAGTTATTCCATGCCCTACCCTGGTTTAGCTTTTGGTATTACAAAGCCCTACCATAGAGTTATTCAAGCCCTATCCTAGCCCTAACTTTGATATAACCATAGCTTCCTAATAGCTTTGTCTAAGCTATTTCTCAATTACCTTCACTTACTCTCACCTACTCTCATCTACTTTCATTTATCCTCACCTACCTTGTACCCTACCCTACCTTACCATAGCTTATCTTATCCTAAGTTACCTTATCCTAGCCCTCCTTTGCTCTACTTTATACTATATTATACCCCCCTCCTCCCGTCTCACCTTAACTCAGTTGGACCCCACACGAGTGGTCCGAATACTCTACCCCGTCCTTCTTTTAGTCTTACTCTAAATGTCATATACCCCATTTTCATCATTTATATAAGTCACACCTACCATCACTATGCCATCTCCAATACGTGTACATTAAACTATGCACAACGCAATTTAGCCTTACAGACCATACAGCATCGTAACCGTGTGGAACGTCTTAAAATTTCCCCGACATCCGGCTTAAACTAGCGATTAGCCTTGTAGGTCGCTAAATTTCAGCAGTTTTTTAGTTTTGGTAGGGCAGTTTATAGAGTACAGTAAAAAGAGTACTCAATGCGTGCATTTGCAAAAATTGTCTCAACTCAAAGTACGATTGAATTAGAGTTTGTAGACCCGGTCATGACGTGTTTTAAGTTTTAGCCATAAGCAAAAGACGTAAAGCTAGTGTGGCTAAGGTAGGACTAAAGCAAGGCTAAGGTGAAGCTAAGGTACGGTCAGGGCAAGATAAAGCAAAATAGGGCTATGGCATAAGCTAGGGTAAGGCTGATTTAGGACTAAAAAAGGGCCAGGAACGGACCAGAATTAGGCTAGGGTGCGTTAAGAATAAGGCTAGCGCACGACTAGGGTAAGATAGAACTCAAGTCGGGCTAGGGCAAAACTAAGGTATGACTAAGACTGGACTAAGACAATACTAGGCCATGTCATAAATAAAGCCGGGCGAGGACTTTTGGTCTGGGGGCAGGGGTCCAAAAATCCACAGAGGGGACCACGTTCAATTTTTTTGCGAAAATTTTTTTCTGGGGTGTACCCCCCCCGTCCCCCCCCGTCTTCCCCCTAGCGCCTGGCCCTGGTCATAAATAAAGCTAGGGTAGAGCTGACTTAAGGCTTAAAGAAAAGGCTAGGAATGAGTTAGAGAAAAGCTAGAATTGAGTTAGACTAGGGGCATAGTAAAACTGGGTAGAGCTAGATTAGAACAAGGATAATAATTAGATAGGAATAAGCAATGTTTAAAGTAAGGCTAGAGTAGAGTTCAAAAAAAACGATGGTAGGGCTATGGGCAAAAGTAGAGTTAGCACGAGAGTAATGTAAGGGTAGAGTAAGTTTAAAATTGAGCTACGTTTCAGATAGTATAAGGTCACAGAAAAGCTAAGGAAAGGCTATGACACGGCTAGAGTGAAGCTATATTAGGACTACGGTAAAGCTATAACAAGGCTTGGGTTAAAAATCATCACTGCTGTATAGGTTTCAATATCAATACCATGCCTAATCTCATAGTAATCAACCAATATTTTAATTCCATTAGAACAAAGTATAAAGTTTAGGCAGTTAAAATCTAAACATCTAATCTCTAATCTTTCTTTTGTGTTCTAACCATATTCATGTTAGCAAATCTTTTTTAAACACCAATTGAAATTAAATTGCAAAAAACACAGTAACCTTTATCTTTTATTAAAACGTTACTGAAAACCTTACATGTACATGTTTTTTATAAAACAAATATTATATAAAAGCAATTTTTAGCACGTCAAAGCATGAAAAACACGTTTTAAGTTGTAGGCTTGCAGGCACTATGTTGTAGCTACTACAATATCAACAAAGAACGGAAGTTACTATAAATGAAGCAAAATGCAACAAAATAAGTATAATTTGCAAAATGTAGTCATGATGATAAGATGATGTTACCTTAAACTATATTTTTTGATACTACTTTTTGTAAATACAACTCTTCAAAACTTGGAAAACAAACATCTTAATCTTAGCAGATTAGGATGCTTGACTAATGTAAGACGTAAAATTTTCAGTACAGCTAGTTTTGAAACTAAAAATGACAAAACAAAAACAGTACGTAGGATAGCAAGGTTTTAAAATAGAACCGTGCGTTATACTTGAAAGTACTAGAACTTGTAATTGAATAAGAGGTATTGTAACGGTCAGGTGTGATAACGGCAAAGCACTAAAAGGGCATTGTATTGTATATATGAGTAAGGTACAGTAGAAGAAAAAAAAGTGATAAGGCTAGAACCAAGGAAAAATCTAGGCTTGAGCTATAGTTATAACTATCAAGGCTACAGCTCTGTGCTAGGACTCTAGGCTAGGGCTCTGGGCTAGGGCTCTGGGCTAGGGTTCTGGGCTAGGGCTATGGGTTAAGGCTATGGACTAGGGCTGTGGGTTAAGGCTCTGGGCTAGGGCCATTGGCTTAGGGTTTAAGGCTAGGGCACTGGGTTAGGGCTCTGGGTTAGGGCTCCGGGCTAGAGCTCTAGGGTAGGGCTCTGGGCTAAGGCTGTGGGCTAGGGCTTTGGGTTAGGGCTCTAGGCTAGATCTTTGGACTAGGGCTCTAGGCTAAAGCTGGATTCTAATATATACGTATGTACAAATTAAACTCTACGTAAATTGTGACGCGAATAAAAATTAACATATCAACTAGAAGCACATTGCTTGCACTTCCAGACCACACTAATTTAGGAAAACGTGCGGAAAATTAATCAAAATGGCGTTTAACATTGACAAATTGCTTCAGGAGAACAATAACCTAGAAAACGTGAAAGAACATAGAGGTATGTCGTTTGAAGTTTCGAAAAACGTAAAAAAACTTAAACAACCAAAACAATTTTTTTTCACAACGGGATGATAGCATAAAACCATAAAAGCTTAATTTAATTCTTATGTAAAAGTTCAATTGCGTTTTTTAAATTTTGGCGTCAACAGCATAAAATTGCTCTAAATAGAATTTTACACAACTACTGAGCATCGAATTTAAAATTAAAAAAATTAAATCAATATGTAGCACAGTACGATGTGGCAAAAATAGGTAGTCTAAGGCACGGTGATAAAAAATCAGACTCTACGGTACAACAGGGTACATTTGAATATGATTTTTGATTTTGGAGAATAGAGTAGTTAAGGGTAGTATACGGTAAGCCATGCAAAGCAATAGGATCAAGGAGGGCAAACCAGGGCTAGAACAAGATAACGTAGGATAACATAAGGTAGGGTAAGATAAAATAGGGTAGAGTACGGTAAGTCGAGGTAAGTAAGGATAAGTGAAAGTAGATGAGAATAGATGAGGATAAGTGAGGATAGGTGAGAGTAGGTGAAGGTAAATGAGGGTAGGGTAGGGTAGGGTAGGGTAGGGTAGGGTAGGGTAAGGTAGGCTAGGGTAGGGTAGGGTAGGATAGGGTAAAATTACCGTACTTTCAATACTATAATAATAAATTCCGTTTTAGATCCAAAAAACCCACTACAACAAGTACCAACCATAGCTACTGCCCTTACCTCATCCACCCTGTACGAAATCGCCAATGATATTAAAACGCCCAGCCTGGCCGAACTTCACATGTTATTCGGGCTGAAAGGTAAAACCAAACAAAGAAAACAGATATTAAAGACAAAAGGATTTGCAAGTCTGAGCAAAGCTGTTATGCCACAAATGTCATGACGTGCAATGCCCATTAAAGCACTATGATAACAAAAATCTTTATGCATTTTGAGGAGGCTGGTAATTCAAAAGCTTTTCAAAATCTGAAATATCTTTTTTATTCACGTCACGTTAGAATAATTTTTGTCTTGGGCGTGCTTAAGTACACTTAACCGCTTTTGCCTTACCTTGCCTTGCTTTGTCTTGCTTTGCCCTGGCCTTCCCCTGGCCTTGCCCTGGCTTTGCCCTGGCCTTGCCCTGACCTTGCCCTGGCCATGCTCTGGCCTTGCCTTGGCCTTGCCCTGGCCTTGCCCTGGCCTTGCCCTGGCCTTGCCCTGGCCTTGCCCTGGCCTTGCCCTGGCCTTGCCCTGGCCTTGCCCTGGCCTTGCCCTGGCCTTGCCCTGGCCTTGCCCTGGCCTTGCCCTGGCCTTGCCCTGGCCTTGCCCTGGCCTTGCCCTGGCCTTGCCCTGGCCTTGCCCTGGCCTTGCCCTGGCCTTGCCCTGGCCTTGCCCTGGCCTTGCCCTGGCCTTGCCCTGGCCTTGCCCTGGCCTTGCCCTGGCCTTGCCCTGGCCTTGCCCTGGCCTTGCCCTGGCCTTGCCCTGGCCTTGCCCTGGCCTTGCCCTGGCCTTGCCCTGGCCTTGCCCTGGCCTTGCCCTGGCCTTGCCCTGGCCTTGCCCTGGCCTTGCCCTGGCCTTGCCCTGGCCTTGCCCTGGCCTTGCCCTGGCCTTGCCCTGGCCTTGCCCTGGCCTTGCCCTGGCCTTGCCCTGGCCTTGCCCTGGCCTTGCCCTGGCCTTGCCCTGGCCTTGCCCTGGCCTTGCCCTGGCCTTGCCCTGGCCTTGCCCTGGCCTTGCCCTGGCCTTGCCCTGGCCTTGCCCTGGCCTTTCTTTGGCCTGCCATTGGCCTGCCTTTGGCCTGCCTTTGACCTGCTTTTGGCCTGCCTTTGGCCTGCCTTTGGTCTGCTTTTGCCCTCCCATTGGCCTGCCTTTGTCCTGTCTCATCTTACTGTGCCTTACTCTGTCTTACACTATTTTACACTACCCTATCTTATCTTACTTTACTCTATTTTATCGGCCTTACCCCATCGCACTTTACTCTACATGACAAAGCAATAAATTAGTACTAAACTACAGTACCCTACCGCAATTTAATTTATGAACTTGACTACGCAATTTGTTTTTAAATCCAATTTTACAATATCAACTGCCATTTTTAGCCCACAAGCACGACTATAAGCGGACGCCGAGAACAATCGTTAATCGGAAGCCCCGCCAGGTTTACTCCGCCGAGCAGCTAAACCGCCTCGAACAAGAATTTCAGGCAAGTTAAGCGATCAAAAAACCGTATCAACTGAAGGGTTTCAAACGTAAATTAGTGTTTTCTGGATTACAAAACCATACATCTGGGGCTTTGTTCTATAATTTTAAGTACAATAATTAGTTTTGTCACTAAAAAGATTGTTAATGAGATAACAAAGAACATTACAATATACGCCTACACTTGGATTTTAAAAGCCCCATTTATGGTCTATAGAATTAAAAAACGGTTTGGTCCAGACTTATTTTTCAAATGTCTTGATGGGGCCGGACCTAATGTTCAAAGCCCGGACTTATTTCATTATTTCCAAGGACGGCACGGCAAAATTTTAAAGAAAGTAAATTTTTTAAGCCCGTGCTTGCTTCTAAAGCTTAGCCCGCAGGCCGGGTCCAACTTACAAGCCAAGCCTTTATCTACTTTGGCATAAGGCCGTCCTGTCCTATCGTAGGACCAAGCTGTGCCAGGCGACATCTACACGGCTTGTTTCAAAACCCAAGCCCAAGCCCAGAGCCCTAGTCCAGAGCCCTAGCCTAGAGCCCTAGCCCAGAACCCTAGCCTAGAGCCCTAGTCCAGAGCCCTAGCCTAGAGCCCTAGTCCAGAGCCCTAGCCTAGAGCCTTAGCCAGAGCCCTAGCCCAGAGTCTTAGCCCAGAGCTCTAGCTATTGAAATGATATTTAAAGTTTACTGGGTGGAATATAATATTACCCTTCGAAACATAACGCTTATTAATATTTTAGCAAGACAAATACTTGAGTGTTGACACACGCTACTTACTTTCGGCTGAACTTGGTCTAACCGAAGCTCAAGTCAAAACATGGTTTCAAAATCGGCGGTAGGTTACACTTTATACTACGCATTCACCGCAGCTTCAGCTTCAGATTTTATCCAACCCCCCCCTCCTCCATATTACTATAAGTCTTGACCAGTACTGGCCGTACATCACAGTAAATAGTGAATGTTGTTTCTGGTTGGAACATTTTTAATTAGCCAAAAAGCCCTAAAGAATGAATCTTTTTACGAAAATTGGGTTAAACTATTTACTACTTGACCCTTTTTTAATTTTTTAAAATTTTTGGTGTTTGGTTCAATTTTTATAATTTTAGCACAAAATGGAAGAAAGACATGACTCAAGCCATGAAACAGTGCCTCAAAACTCAAATAAACAGTGCTTCTGATGATGTGATGTAGAGGAACAGTGGTAGGCTTTACCGCAGCCCTACCCTACCCTACCCTAGCCTACCCTACCCTAGCCTACCTTACCCTACCCTACCCTACCCTACTACCCTACAAGGTGCCATCGTACCCTAAGCCGTTCTTACCCAAGCCCCACATAACCTTCTTAAGACATACTCAAGCCCTACTTAAGTCTTATCAAAGCCCTACCCAAGTTCTACTCATGTCTTACCTAAACCCTATCCAAGTCTTACCCAATCCCAACTCAAGCTATACCCAAGCCTTACCCTAACGCCACTCAAGCTCTACTTTGCTCTACCATACTCTACCCTTACCGAGCCTTACTCTACCATTACCTTAGCATTACCATAGCTTTACAATAGCCTTTCTTTGTTTGAAAGTCTTTTAATAAGTACTCGATTTGAAGGTTTCATAGATTTATTAATGTAATTTACCCTTATAACAATAAAATTTTGACGAGCAATAAATACGACAGATATATACAGTTAATATTGAGTGGTATAATAAAACTTAATGCTGAAGGATACTGTATGTTTGTATCAATACTAAGTAGTGCTGTACGTTACTATCAACACTAGATAGTACAGTAAGTTAATACCAATACGAAGTAGTGATGTATGTTAATGTCAATACACAGCAGTACAGTATACTAGTACTAATACGAAGAAGTAGTGTATTTTACAATAGTAACAATGCAGTACGTTAAAGTTGAGTGGCATGAATTAAATAATGGAATTGTGTAAGTTTGTAGCAAGATCAACAAATAGTTCAATAACAATCCACTGGTGGGGTACAGTAGTGTCGAATACCGAACGAGTCAAGTTTCACACCGTGCGGACAACGTTTGTTGCCGTGAGTGTCGCGCACCGCCCGACATTCACCATCAATGTGTGGTTGGGAGGGCTCGTTTACTGTAATTGAAATGTAAAAAAGTTTATTTTTTTTTGTTATTTAGTGTATTTAATCAAGTTTTAACAAAAATTTGAGTTTATATGCACATTTTTGCAATTTGACGAAACGTCACAAAATTTATTGATTTTTACGAAATGTCAAAAAATTTATTGGTTTGTAAATTTTTTTATTTTGAATTTTACTACTTTAAAAAGTCTTTTTTAACTTTTTTTGTATTTTAAAAAGTGAGCTCACAAAAAACTATCAATTTAACAAATGCCACAAAAATTATTGATTTTAACGAAATGTCACAAAAAATATTGATTTTTTTTTAAATTTTAAAACAGTACGCTAAAAATGCCGCTTATACTTACCATTTTTGCAATTTAAAGTTTGTTTCGGACATTTCCTGATGTCTTTTTCATTGTTACATTTGTTGTAACGGTACTTCTTGGAGTACTCTTTAGATTCGTCACACTTGCTCCAATGGGTCCATTTTGACACTCTGTGTTTTAGGGGAATGTCCTAAAATGTCATAATTTAGCATTGAATTGTAAAAGGCATACTGTACTTTATTTTTATTTTTTTAATGGTACACTGTACTTTTTCGGATACGGTAAAAAATTTAAATTTAAAACATCTGATATTTTTAGAAAAAGGATCGAGAAAAACGACGTATTTTACCTTATATCTCCTCTGAACATCCGGACTATCGTCAATTCGTGGCATATCAAAGTAGAACATGATGACACCCTCATCTTCAGGTACGAATACTGTAGGTTGAGTGAACTTATTTTCCGAATTCAACAAACAGTTTTGGTCAGCATCAGCTGGGTACCACATGGCACTACGGCATCTGAATCCATACTTTTCTTGAGCTTGAAGACAGTCGATTTGACACTGTACCAAGGTGGTAGCATCTGTCACTTCTTGTACATGCCCGACTAGGATGTAGGATGGTACTGCGTCAAAGATCGATTTTGTTTTCTCGGCCAGGACGATTGGTAGACAAATCTTTTCGAGGTAGGTGGCTTCACGGTTCACTACGAGAGACTGAACTTCAGCGTGATTGGCTGACTTTGATGATAAGATGCAGCCTGATGGAGAGTGAGAGGCTGATGCACTGAAAGATTTATCTTAGTATCATATTTTTTTCATACCGTACCGTATCCCACGCAACTTCACGCAACCCATCTTACCCTACCCTACCCTACCCTAAAATACTCTACTCTGCATCACCGTGCCCTAATCTGCCTTACCGTGCCCTACTCGACCGTAACATTTTCTGGCTTAAACTAATTTGCCCTACAGTACTGTATCTTGTATTATTTTACACTACATATACCTGCCGTTCCGTACCGTACTGTAACGTACCGTGGTATCTTAAAACTTATTGTACTTTAAATTCTAGTGTTACTGAATTCTAGGCTTTATCGTCGTTATGGGCTGCATTACTTTAACTCCTACTAAGCCATGCCAAACCCCATTCTACTCTAACCTTAAAACATTTTTTAAATTTGTAAAACCCTTACCATTCAAAAGCCGAGCTCTCAGCACATGCCTTTTGACAAGTCTCCAACGTTCCAGATGGCAATAATTCTAGCTTAGCATCTTGATCCTTGTGAGATTGTTCGTATCCAGAGAATTGGACAAATCTCAAAATTTCATTTTCTTTGCACTTTTCAGCATGATCTAGTTTTTGAACTTTTAGCTTTTTCTTATCACTGTCAAAGTCAAGTGCGACTTTGTCTTCATTAGCTTTGGCGTCAGATTGAAGCTTAAGGGTTTGGGGTGGTGAAGATTGAGTTTGTTGGTCTACTGGTGCCGCTGGGCCTTGTTCTTGAGTTTGTGGTGCTTGCTCATCATTTTGAGGTTGTTTTTGAGGTTGTTGTTGTCCTTCTTGTTCTTTTTGTTCTTCTTCTTGTTCTTTTTGAGCTTTTAGTTTATCTTTTTGATCATTATTTGTCTTTAATTGACCTTTCTGACCATTCTGGTCAGTATTGTCATCCACTGACTTCTGCACATACTCCTTATGAGCAACGTTCTCTGGTGCTAGCGGCTCTCTAGAGTATACTTGTTGATCAAACGTTGATGATGAGAAGGTCTTAAAGCCCATTGGTTGTTGTTCCAAGCTCTTGACCAGTTCTTCGTTTGTCAATGTTGTTGTATCAGCGTCCGAAGCAACTTTTTGGCTACTTGAGACTTGGTGAAAGCCGTTTTGTTGAGTATTGGCAGCTTGTTGATTAGAAGAAGACTGTTGACTAGCTTGCTGGTTAAGCTCTTGACCGTTGGCTTGAGTCTGATAATGTTCTTCCCAAGCTTCGTGATGTTCGCGACGTTGTGTGTTGAACTTTCGAGTGATTATGGTTGAGGTTTGTTCTGAATTGGACTCTGAAGTTTGAGAAAATTCAGAGTTTTGTTGATTTTCAGCTGCTTTCTGGTCTTCAAACCCAACGTTCACACTCTTGTTCTCACCGTTTTCACTACCATCTTCACCATCCGTCTCCACCTTGAACTGGGAAACAACTTCTTCTGTCTTCTTCAAAATTGAAGCAGCTGAAGTTCTCAGTAGTGTAGCCGGTGTAGTTTCATCAAAAAATTCTTCGGCCGCTTTCGCTTCTTTGGCTAGCTCATGAGCAATCTTTTCACCTTCTTCTCGAAGCAAAGCCTCAGCTGCTGCGGTTTCTGGAGAGATTTTGTTGATCTTCAAGGATAACATAGGGTTGCGGGGCTTGGGGAAGTCATTGGTGTTTGTATCGATGACTTCTGGAGCTTTTTGTGACAATTTCGGACCTTCAATCGCTTCGGATTGCTGGAGGGATTCTGTGTAGGTCGCTCCTTGAACTTGCTGAAGGTGAGGTGGTTTAGCTTGGGCTTCTTGGCTGTTTGCTTGAGCGGATTGGCTTTGTTGATCATTAGCGTGAGCTACAATACCACCCTTCTGTCCACTATGAACCTCTTGAACACTAACACCTTCATCCTTCTTCTCCTGACTTCTCAAGCTGTCAATCCTCAACTTTTGGTTCCTACCACCTTCAACATGATGTACGCCTTCTTGTCTACTGTTCCCACTAACGGCCGCCTTATGTTCTTGATAGAACTCTTTGGTTTCATCGTGCTTAGCGTTACTAGCAATGATGTTCCTCAAGGTCTTCAAATTCATCTTCTCTAAACGTCTGGAGAAGCTCTTCCTTTTGGCTACTGGATCTTCTTCAAGCTTCTCTTCGGCTAGGCCAGGAATTGGAAGCTTCTCTCCGGACCTGCTTTTGATGTAGGTTTTTGAAGCTCGAGCAGCAGTGACGAAGTCGGTGCCATCGTGAGAACCTACAGCTGATCGTTCGGATTCTGAGAGTTTAGTTGGAGTTTCTGAAGTTTCAATCACCGTGACCTTTTGCTCTGTAACCTCAAGTTCTTTGCTAGGATTCTCGGTGGTTACTGGAGCATTCACGGTAGAGAACTCGGTCACGTTGGCTTCTTCAACGATCTTTGAAGGTTCTACTGAAACTTGTGTCACTGCGGCTTCAGAAGCCTCTTCTTTGTGAAGAATCACGGTTTCTGAAGTGTGTAGCTCAATGGCTGGTCCTGTAGTTTGCTCTACAAATTTTTCTGTAGCTTCAACTTCTAGTTTATCGTTGGATTCTGTTTTTGAAGATTCAGAAGTTTCTTCTTTGTGTTCCCAAACATTTGTAGCCTCCGTAGCCTTTTCAGTAGCATCAGTAGTTTTAGTAGTGTACTTCTCATCAGAATCCTCATGAATATCAACTGCCTTAACGTTAATCGTCTTCAAAATGCCTTCAGAATCCTTCTCTCCACCGTTCTCACTGTGAATACTTGGTGTAGTCGCAGCTTCTAGAATGCCAGCTTCAGTACTCTTACTCGTAGCCAAAGTCTCAGCCTTGGCTACACCGTCAATCTCCGTGACATCAACCATCACCTTCTTATGCTCCAAAACCTGCTTCTCCTCATCAATAATGTCAATTTCATGTGACACGCCAATTCGAGAACGGTCTTTTGGAGACAACGCTGGTAGGTAGGCAAAGTAGTCTCGCATATGGTACTCGGTGAGATAGTATGGCTTCGACTGACCGTTGATTGCGTAGATATCACAAATCTCGTACTTGTGGTCGTATGTCAAGGAACGGCACACCCATTTCGTTGCGTTGTTCTGAAATTTAAAATTTTTAAAAATAGTGCTATTTTATAAAGATATCCTTATCAAAATGTATAAATAATAATAAATTTTATCATTTAGAGGCTTTTCGAATCAAATTATAGTAGAGATTAGCTTTTGACGAAATGTCACTTTAATTATCGGGAAATATACCGGTGTCACAAAGTTATTGGATTTTATAAAAATTAACAGAAGGGTCATTGTAACATTAAAAAATTGAAAAAATAAAAACTTTTTTTAGTCATTTTTTGTAAAAAAGTCGCTTAAGAATTGGAATTTTACGAAATGTCACAAAATTATCGATTTTTTTAACAATCAGAGTGTTTGGACGTAAAAAAACGGTTTTTTTTGTAAAATACGACAATTGATTTACTGTTCTTAATATATTTAAAAAAATCAATTTTAAAAAAAGCGACGATATGTCACAAAAAATTAAAAAAACTAACAAAATGCCAAAAAAGTTATTGGTTTTTTGAAATCTTAAGCACGACAAAAACCTGTTGACACTTTCAAAATCTAAAAATTAACCAAAAACCCTACCTGATAACTTTCACATCGACTCATACATTCGGAACAACTGATACCACTAGTACGGTCGAACATAACTGCATTTGAGATGGTGACTTCTGGCTCCGTGTACCATTTGTCGGCGTCTAAAAGACAAATTTTAAATTTGAATTACTGATTGTTTGAAAAACGTCAAAAGCTTTCTAAAATGTCATAACCTATTCAAAATGTCATAATGAACCTACCAAAATGACAATGCCCCATTGACTTGGCATTCCGTCGGACTTTGGGCGGTGGTGGTCTATAGCCAAGCCCATGGATAATGTTGGCCGTTGAGATGGCTTCAATTATTGGGCTAGCCAGCAGGAATGCGGCTATTACTAACCGGAAACCCATTTCTGAAATTTTTTTAAATTTCAAAAAAAAGTTAAATTTTAAAAAATTTCGAATAATTTCAAAATTTCAAATTTTTTTTTAAATTTAAAAAATATTTTTAAAAACGAAAAAAAAATTTGAAAACGCGTTATTACATCAAGAAAGTTTCAGTAATCTTACAAAAACTTCAAAAAAAATAAAAAATTTTTGACTAATACCGCCTTACCACGGAAAGCTTAGAAAAGGTACTACCACCTCACCACAATATAAACACAAGCGCAATAAACCGAAAGTGAAATGCGCAATAATCCGGAATTTAGATACGTTGGGCTGATATCATTGGAATACCGGAACCGCTTAGAATAACAGCCCTACTTTCGATTTTGACTCCGTTTTACCTTATTTTATCTTGATACAACTCTCACTTTCACACCACAACAACAAATGTCGTGTTCAACAACAAAGATCAAGTTTTGGGGGGGAGGGGGGAGGGAATGTAAACAAAATTTTTAAATTTATTTTTAAAAAGTTATAATAAGACATAAGATGGAGAGAGCAAGGATGAGCTTGGCAGCGCAGGTTACACGAGACATGCGCGCCACTGCAAGTTTCCGTAGACAACCAGGGTAGAGCAGGTTATTCTAAACGTGCACGGCAAAGCAAATTACTCTAGTTGAGTACGGAGCAAGATATCCTACACATGCACAGCAGATCAGCTTATCATAGGCAAGCACATCAAGGGATTTACTCTCGACGAATACGACGAGGCAAGTTACATTAGACGAGCATGACGGCTTTCCCTGATAAGATTGAAATACAATAAGTTGCAAAAAAATTAAAGTTAATGAAAGACTAGGGCAAAGCTGAGGAGAAGTTAAGGGTAAAAAAGATATGTATTTTGTGCATCTTGCAAGTTAAGGCAAGGACAGAGCTACAACTAGAACAAGAGTAACCCTAAGGAAGTGCTAAGAGATAGGACTATGACAGAGTGGCTAAAGATACAATAGGGCTAGAGTAGGGTTAGTGAAAAGACTAGAGGAGAGCTAGATTGCAAAGTGCTAAAGAAGTAATTTACTTTAAGTTTTGAATCTACTACAATATAATACGTAAAGTAGGTCAAACCATATTAACGAAGCATATTAATGAAATTATTTTGCTTTTTGAAGACACTGTCGTTTTACTGTTAATTAGCCACCAAAAAACAAAAAAATTTTTAAAAAATTTTATTTTTAATCAAAAAAATGTTTGATACCTTACCTTCAAACTACTGTACTCTACCCACTCCCAACTTTATAAAATGTAACAAACCCTCAACCCTCAAACACCCCAGCTACACTAAACTCACGCTGACAATTGCCCTTTCACCCCCCCCCTTTTTCCCCGCATCTTCATTAAATGCGAACGCCGCATCGCCAACGGCGATTAACGCTTAAGCGCTAAAAAGTCAACTTATTATTGCAATAGCTGACAATCGCAAAAGCATTGAAAGTAAAAACGCCTGCGGCACAATTAACTCGATCGTCTTCAAATGAATCCAATCATGGAAATTATTCCGCTTAAACTATCAGAAACTAAAGGAAGGCACCCCTCCCCTCTCGTGCCTGCTCTTAATTACAGGTTTTGGCGATTGCTCAACAACAGATTTTCTTGGTATTGGCGTACTGTAATGAAGGTTCAATTTTTGGTAACAACATACTGTACCAAAGTCCTCAGTATTCTCTTCAGGGCCGGGCGTGGTCTTTTGGTCTGAGGGCGGAGGTCGAAAATTTTTTTTCCAAAAAATCCACAGGGGGGCTAAGTTCAACTTTTTTCGAAATTTTTTGTAGGGGGGGGTACCCCCTCCTCTCCACCTCCCCTCCTCGAGCCTAGCCCTGGTTATCATACTGTAACAAAAGCTATTTTTAAGTTGTTTTTCGCGCACAGTTTTTTAAAAGTTTTTTTGAAAAATTCAAAATTTTTAAAATTTAAAAACAGAGTTCCTGAGGGCTCCGGAGCCAAAATAAAAATTTACAAAAAAGGCAAAGCCGGAGCTGGAACTGAAGGCAAAAAATGTCAAAGTTCAGTGCTAGAGACCCCCGGAGCCGGACTGAAACATATAAAAAAAACGGGTTCAGAGCTGCAACTGAAGCCAAATGTTTTTTTTTTATTTTGAAGCTCTGATTGTAAAAACAATTAAAAATTTTAAAAAAATTTTTTTTGAAAAAATATTTCTTTACGTACCCACGCCTAACCTTACTTCCTCTATAAAATTTTTTTGAGTAAAGCAGAATCTTTGATATTTAAAGGCAATAACATTGAAACCCATTTTATCAGCCCCAACAGCAGTTTTTCGAATCAAAAACCCTAGCTTCGGCTTGAGCTCCGGCTTCAGGCTCCGGAGGCTGAAACCGCAATTCATTTTCGCAAACTCCGGCAATGACTCCGATAGCGAGCCTCACAATACCAAAACAAATGAAAACTAAGCCCCAACTAGTCCCAAACCCAGTTTAGCAAAATTTTCCCCTAGAACATTAAAACCCTTCCTTTTTCAATCCTCTAGAAGCGAGTAATTAACAGCTCGAGCTGGTCAACTATGCTCCGTTGAAGCAAAAGAGCGTTACATTCTTTGCTAGCCAACGGATTTAACGAGAAATTAGGTAGATTAAGCGACAACTTGTTACGCAAGCTTGTAATAGAACAGTGAGGAATGCTTGTTGAAATGTGCGTGAGGAATGCTAGATACATGTTTTTACGAAAGGTATGACAATATGCATAGGTAATTCTATAAGGTTTCATTAATAGTTACAGAAAATCAGTAAAGAACGGTAAAAAAACTACAGCAACAAATGCATGTAAACAAATTTAATGAACAGTGCTACGCAAAGGCTACAATATGATTAAGTTAGGATTTGGCTAGGATGGAGAAAAAATAAGTCGAAGATCGAGTTTAGCTAACAAATTTGTAATGATTGGGTAGAAAAAGATTAGAGAGTAGTCTGCAAGGTCAAGTTAAACTAAGCCACATGTGATATAAGACTAGTATAGGGCTAGAGCAGAGCTATAGTAAGACTCAAGTAGTTTCAAAGGTTAGGCAATTATAAGACTTGAGTAGTGCTAGCTAGGGTAGGGATAGAGTAAAGCTATAGAGATTTTTGAACGAGCTAGCGCTAGGGTTTTTATTTTCTAATATAGTGGAATTCCAGTATAACGAACTACTGTATGACAAACTGTTGTAAAAAATACTACTCCATAACGAACGTTTGTATAAATCCTCCTGTATAATAAGTTCTATTATAACTAGGTCCTCTATAACAAACCCATGTATTATAAACAGTTCACATCTTCAGCTGACACTTCACAATGCGTCTAAAACTTCTGTACAACAAAACTCCTTTATAACGAACAAATTTACGAAACTTGAGCAATCTGTTATACAAGAGTGCTATTGTACTGCACATAAAACACACTTCCTGTAATAAACCCCACTGTCATACTGCAACAAATTCACACAACAGGCAATCAAAAACTTTACCGCACATTAAGCCTATTACGGTCTAACATATAACCTTTACAGATTAAGTCTACCAAGCCACTAAACATGAAATTAACAGGTTAAGCCTAGCATGCCGCTACATATGACATTTTCTTTCATACCATTACACATGAAATAGCCCTTTATGATATTACACATGACATTGACAGATCAAGCCCAACATGCCATTACATATGACATATCCCTTCATGCCATTACACATGACATTAACAGATTATAACTACCGAACCGCCGCAACCTCAAACGCTGGTGCTCGGCATTCTGAACTGACAAACTTGATCGCCCCTTGTTTTTATTGTTTGATCGTCTTCGTTTTGGTTGTTATTTCGGCGTGGTCCGGTTTTTATCAATTCCCTCTTCCCTAACCGAAAATCCCGAACCCGTTCCGCCAACGAGTTGTTAAACCAAGTTTGGCGTTGATAAAAAACGATTTTTTTGATTAATTCGCAATTGCTAACAAACTTGTAAGTACAGTAAAACGTGTGTTGTTGCTCTTGTCAATAACATGATATTGCTATTGTCGATGATATTCGAACGGGAATTTTTTGACTTGACCTATATATAAAAGTAGAATTGATAATGACATTATTTACTTGTTTACTAACTCAATTAAAAAAGATTTTTGATTTTACAAATGCGGAAGACATTAACTGAACCAGAAACACAAAAATACGACTATGGAAATCATTAGTTTTAGTTAGATTCGAAAGGAGGTTACTAAATCGCGTCAAGCCAAAGCAAACTTGAAAAGAGCTAGCCTTAGCATGCGAGCCCGAGAGCCAAAACCTAAATCAAAGCCTCATGAGCCCAGTTTATGTCTCGCAACAAAAGATTTGACTTATAAGCGCGGCCAATGCTCATATATGTATGCCAACGCACCGTGGCTTGCACCAAAGCCTAACCCGCCCTTCTTACGGAGTAAACCCCAAACAATTTGTTATACAGAATCTCCACTGAACCAAAAATAACCAAACGGTTGCTCTAACACAACTTATCAAATAGACATTATACCGTACCACCTTCCAGCCTTAAAAGACTTAAAAATATTTAAAAACTCTTCAGCTCTTTGGTTATATAACCGCCTTTATCATTAAAGCTCATCTTGTTTACAAAACTTTATCTGTATTTCAAGTTTTTTGTTGTATTTTACCATAGTTGTTAATAGCCCCGCTTTTTGCTAAAAAAACGTTTGAAAGTGAAAGTTGTTTCAAGATTCATATCGGCGCTTTAAAATGATTTTTATAGCTGAAAGTGGCATAAAGTTTTCAATGTTCGGAGTTGGATCTGTAGCGTTCAAATTTGGAATGCACTTTACAAATCTTAAACGTTATTTTTAATTCTTAACAAAAGGATATTAGATATTAAAAAACCCAAACATCTTGAATTATTTATTCTAGTTACCGGTACAAATTTGGTGTAATGCTTTTAAAATAATACAATTTCTATCAAAATCAACGTATATTCGGTAGGTTTACGCTAGGCATAAGCTTACGTTTAAGCCAATGCATTTTTGATAGAAGTCAACAACGGGAAGGTGCCATTGTTGCAAGTGTTGTCGAGGTCATCGTAGTCCAAAGTCCAGACGAAAACACCAGCGAATCCGTTAGTTTTAGCATAGTCGGTCTTATCAGTAACTGATTGTGGATTTTCATAGTTGTACCAATCGGTGTTCAACTGAGTGTATGGTGTTTCACTGGTCGAGTCCCAGTTAACGGATCCGCCTTGGGAAATGACTTGACAGGCTTCGTAGTAGGCAAGGATACCAGCAGATTGCGTTGTAGCTAGAGCTGGGGAAGCGGATGGGGCAGGAGCACCGACGCCTTGGTTTGGAGTTGACGAGGACAAGGTCCAGCCACGACCGTAGGTTGGGATACCGAGGAGGATTTGAGCAGCGGCGAAGTTCTGGAATGAAGTAAAGGGAACAAATGATAAGGATGTTATGTGGATGCAACTCAGAGCTACTAATCCTAAAATTTGCTCACTAGGCGCGACCACTTGGCTGAGGTCGGTCGGCTCCAGTGGAAGCAAATTTTTTTATTTGGCTACGCTGAAACATGTGGGCTCGATGCAAAACTCTTACTTCTTTATAGTACTGAGCGGTAGCATTCACAGTGTAAATACCAGTACCGTACAATGGGGCATTGATAGAGGTAACAGTATCCCAGCTACCGTTGTAGTCATAAGCCATGATGTTCAAGTAGTCCACAGCCGACTGCAATGATGACAAGTCGTAGCCAGCAGCAGCGGTTTCAATGTTTGGAGTTACAGCAGCAGTAACGATGAAGTCGCTACCACCAGCCGTCTTGATACCTTGCAAAAGGTTGGTGAACATAGTTGCTTGGCCAGATGTGGGGAATTCCCAATCAATATCAATGCCATCAAAGTCGTATTGCTTGGCAAAGGCGACAACGTTTTTGGCTAGAAATTGCTTTATAAGGACATATTGGTATGAGCTACTTACCAAACGTAGCAATAGTATCAGCACTAGCAGCAATGGTAGGGAAATCACCAAAAGTGGAACCACCAAACGACAAAATGGTCTTCAAGCCAGATTGCTGAGCCTTCAAGTTCTTCAGTCCAGGGTATCCAACGGTCAAATCAGAAGCGTCTGTTGGAGCTGGGTTGTTTCCACTAGCATCAGTGGTGGCGAAGGCGTAGAAGATGTGAGTACATGTACCAGACACATACTTATCAAAAGACCATGTACCTGGCGATGGTCTATATTGAGCCCAGTTGGTCAGGTAACAGCCGCGAATAGCATCAGCTGAGGTTTGGGTAGCTACAATAGCCGCTACAATGACTAGAACGGAGAGCTTAAGCAGGCCCATGGTTAGTAGAATATATTGGAACTAGTAAAAACCTTACAAGCTAATACAACTATAAGTTCTTGGTACTACTTCAAGTTATACTAGACTAGTATGAACCCGTAGACCGAATATGCCCATTTAGAAGTTACCTTCCAGTTTATATACTAGTCGAATTGTGTGTCAACGGAAATGATTTCAACGTTCAAAACTGTCCCAACAAACACTGTGACAAACAAGGAGGGTCAAAATAACTCAATCCAGCTGCGTAAATAGACATCAATAACAATTTTAGTATGTGCACAGTGGATAGGGTACAGTTTTTTTTGTCTAATTGTAATTGTTTGGCTTCTCTGACATCTTTCACTTTCCGTTGTTACTTTCTATAACACTATTATCTCTAGCTTAGGTTTGAAAAAAGGGTTTTTAAGAACGGCATTAGCCTGGCATAGCCAAAGAAAATTTTTAAAAGCCGAATTGGCTCATATGTGTTCAGACGGCGGGTTTGAAACCAAGAAAGCAAGAGCATAGCTTAGAGACTGCAAGAAAAGATAAGGCCTGACCCTGCCGAAGCAAGCTTGAAAGGAGCCGAACCAGGCCGGCACTGATCTCAAGTACCAAAATTTGAGCTTGGCTCGGCTCTTCTGCAAGTCTACTCTGGCTTATTTTCATATTTCTTTCTTATAGTTTCTTTTTCAATTTGTATTTCATTTTTAGCCTCTGGCACTGTGCTGTTGTGTAGCACTTGACGGTCAGAACAAGGTTATTAAAGTTCAAACGTTAGATGCAGGTCAATGACAAACATATAATATCAAAATCAGACAAAGAAAAAGGCATAACTAGTGATCCGTAAGACAAGAGCTATGGCATGATTAAGTGGTAAGTAAGACAAAGACTATTGTAATGAAATTTTATTGTTGCTTTGATAAATAATAAAGTAAATATTTGTTTTCACTTTTTATGTTTACTAAATCTTCAAAATTTGTTGCGTTTTTAATTGATAATTGTTTCAACTTAACAAAGGCTTTGTTTTAGTAGATCAAGTTCATGTTTGTTCACTTTCAGGTTTGATTCGTTCTGACGTACGTGAATTATTAAACGTTTTAGAATTTTGTTTTCATTTAAAAAATGCACGTCCTAAACATATGAATAAACAGAAGTAATACTTACCGTAACGATCAAAGGCTAAAAAATGCATTATGGTTAAGCAAACTATATGGAAACAAAAGGCATATCAGACACCAAATATCATGAATATTACTATTAAACCAGCCCAGAGCCTTAGCACAGAGCTCAAACCCACAGCCCTAGCCCAGAGTCCTAGCCCAAATCTCTAGCCCAGAGCTCTAGCCCAAGCCCTAGCCCAGAGCCCTAGTCCAGAGCCCTAGCCCAGGGGCGCCCTAGCACAGAGCCGTAGCCCTGAGCCCTAGGCTAGTCTTATCTTTAGCCCTAGCTGTAGCCCTAGTTTTAATTTTAGCTTCAGCTCTAGTTTTTGCTATAGGTCTTGTCCTAGCTCTAGTTCTTGTTCTAGCTCTAACAACTTTAACCCCTACCTTCATCAAATCTTACTTTACCCTACATTACCCTGCTTTTATAATTGAAAAACCTGTCAATAAACAATACATATGCAGTGTTACCTATATAATGTTAATGTTTATTCATTTATTTTATCTAACAACATAGCCTTAGAGAAATTGTCAGGAATCGTATTACGCAATCTTTTCTTATGTAATATTATGGTTTTATATAATATTTGCCTCGGTGTAAAACGACCCAACAAATGACTGCGAGTGCTGGGATTTTACTCCGTTTTTCTTTGCGGTACCTTGTTTTACCTATTATATTTTATGAGTTACTACAACGTAACAGTTGTAAAAAAACTTTGGGTATAACTTTATTATGCTTAGCACTAAGCCTAAGCTTTCAGTACACAAACTAACACTAAGCCTAAACTATACGTTTGCAAACTAATACAAAAATTAAGCCATAATTATACAAACTTTGCACGTTTTAAAGTCCATTAATATAATTTAGATCTATAAAACGCTGTACGAAACATTTTACCCGATGGGTTTATTGTGACACGTTGAGGAGGATTATCTATCGGTCAGACGCCATGACCGACCACACTCAGTGTCAAATGCTGCTCTTTTTTTGTTTTTACACTTTTTTTTAAAGTTGTTTATTTTGTTTTGACTTTAAAATTGTAAAAACGTTTAGCCGGGTTACAGTAAATATGATCATTAAGGCTGAGGGTACTGAGGCTACGTAGGGTAGGGTAGGGCGGCTAGAGGAAGGTAAAGGTAGAGATAGGGCTAGAACTAAGGCCCAGTTTGAAGCTGGGGTTTTTTTAGGCTTAGGCTGGTGCTTGGACTAGGGCAAGAACTAGAGCTTAAGATAAAGTTAAAGATGTTGCTATAGGTAGGGTTGAAACTAGAGCTAGAGCTAGAGCTAGAGCTAGAGCTAAAGCTAGAGCTAGAGCTAGAGCTAGAGCTAGAGCTAGAGCTAGAGCTAGAGCTAAAGCTAGAGCTAGAGCTAGAGCTAGAGCTAGAGCTAGAGCTAGAGCTAGAGCTAGAGCTAGAGCTAGAGCTAGAGCTAGAGCTAGAGCTAGAGCTAGAGCTAGAGCTAGAGCTAGAGCTAGAGCTAGAGCTAGAGCCAAGGCTAGGGCCAAGGCTAGAGCCAAGACTAGGGCCAAGGATAAAGCCAAGGCTAGGGTTATTGCAAATGCTAGGATAGAGTTTGACATAACTTTAGATCTGATATGCAAATGTGCAATTGCCGGCGGGGATTTACTACTCTTTGTTGTGTTTCTAAAACTTGATGAGATATAAATCTTTAAAGTCTTTTATGATGTTCTATTGGTGTGGCATGAATAATATTGTGTCGGGGTGGTAAAATACGTCTAGCCATCTTAATTTTTTTAGTTAATTTTTTTTTAATTTTTGTAAAATTTTGAAATAATTTTTTTGCAAAGTTTTAAAGCTTTTACTTTATTCTGCCATAATGTTAATAATATGGCTCATTGTTTACCGTACAAAGCGAATTCTATGCATTTGTGCTCGGAAGCGTTTGCTCAACCATCTGTTACTTCCCGCACTCCTCTGATAGGTCTTTTGTTTTAAAAGTCGAATTTTGATGAATTTACGGAAGGCAACATGTCTTCCGTGTTGTAATCGTATCTGATTTTGGGTCGTGTTGCTATTGGCATTGATTTCAGATACGTTTTTGAAGGTAAAGTGAAAGTTAGGGCTGAGATTAGATATTAAGCTACAGCTAGATGATAGGAAGGCTGGTACAAGTTAGGGTGGGCTTTGGTAGGCGAGAGCGTATATTTTGATTTGTATTATAGTTTATCGTTTGTTTTGGTTTTGCATTTTTGGGCTTGCTTATCTTTCTCAAACGCATAAAAACGATGTTTACATCAAAATGCTAATAGCTACGTTAATTTTGAAAATTCGATGTTGTAGTCACGCATTTTACTTTTAATGGAGAATTTAATTAAAATTACTAATTTTGGTAAAGGGGGAGCAGGATAGGATAAGGTAGACCAAGGTTAAGTGTGTAGGGTAGGGTAGGGTAGGGTAGGGTAGGGTAGGGTAGGGTAGGGTAGGGTAATGTTGGGTAGGGTAGGGTAGGGTAGAATATGAAAGGGTACATTAGATATAATTAAAATGCTATTTTTAATCTTGATTTCCCGTAAATATGCATAATTTTTGGGGTTTCTTCGTTGGCATGAATGATTGAGTGTATATATTTGACGGTTACCGGCCAGCTGCTCGCAAATTATTTTTTTTTTTGATTTTAATTATTTTTTCCATTTTTTACAAAATTCTATTTTATTTAAAAAGATTTTTTTAATTTTTAAAATTTTGGTTAAAAAGTTCATGGAAAACTACAAAATTGGCCCAATTTTGGCGGGAAACTTCTTCTAAGAACTTTTTGACCCCTACATAAACAGAAAAAAAATTTTATTTTTAAATTTACAACTATTATATAACATTCAAATTAAAATTTTTTATTGAAACTTTTTGAAATTTTAATTACACGTCCATTTATCCGGCCGAGTTTAATTTTTATGGCCGGCCATTTAGGGTTGGGCCGAAAAGGAAAAAGTGAGTAAAAATTCAGGAAACGGCCGAAGGGATCTAACCTGTTTCTACTGCATTTCAAAATTGCCTTACTTTATTATTCATAGTGGCTATTCAGTGGTGCTAGGTTTACTTATTCTAGGGCTATTTGGGCTTATAATAAGGTTTATATTATTGGTAGTTTTAGGCTTAGGATGCAAAGTTTTTGTTTATTATTAGTACTATAAGAAGTTTTTGTTTTGATACTAGGGTTACTGTAGGTTGATTGTAAGGTTACTGTAGATTAATGTTAAGAATAGTGTAAATTGATACTAGAGGTACTGTAAAGTCTTGTATATAGTTCTAGGGTTAGTGCGGGCTGATAGTAGAGGTACTAGACAACAGATATTAAAAGTACTGTACTTAGCGCGGAGTGCCTGTAAGTATAATAGGTAGTGCTTTTACTGTAAATTTGTAGTTAGGAAACTGAAAACAGATACTAGAGGTGCTGTATTAGTAATAGGGTTACTGCAAGCTGGTAGTAAGGCCACGTAACACTTGGTACTGAAGGTACAGTATTTAGTACCAGTGTTACAGTAGGTTGCAGAAAGGAGCAAGATAAAGTAGGTTAAATTAGTGTAGGGTAGACCACAAGAATTGCAACTGAGTATGTTGTAAGCCTAATGTAATACTACTGTAATGTCTGGTTTACTACGTCTTTTATGTTGTAGTAGCCGGAAGAAGCCTCAATTTAATAATGTAAGTTAAACCTTGTTATAGCTACTGTAATTTTTAATGCACAATAACCAGTGCCTTGCGCAGTACTATCATTTTTTACTGAGCAACGTAATAACAAGCAAAAGACGTAGTAATATTTGTAAATTAGTACTTTAGTTACAGTACTCATCACTTTTTTAACAGTATTAATTACTTTCGGTTCTAAAAAGTTATAAAAATTAAAAAACGAAGATGTCTTTAGCATTCTTTATGTTTGTTATTAAAGCCCTCCAAACGTGTCTTATCATAAATAAACTTTGAGAGGTTTGTCCACTTGTCGTGCTTTTTAGCGCGGATCGTTTTCTTCTCCCAAATTACTCGTTCTTGCAAATTGATACGACGATACGCGTGACACATGTTGCGTAATTTGAATTTTTTTTTGATTTATGTGGGGGAGGAGGGGGGGGGGAAGGGTATGAAAGGTTAATTCGTTTATAAAGGGTAGGGCTAGAGTGGAATATAGTAGAGCAGGGGATAGGTAAGGGTATGACTGATGGTCAGGGTGGTAGAGCAAGATATAACTAGGGTAGGGTAAGATAAAGTAAAGGATGTGTAAGGGCACGAGTAATAATTAGGCTAGGGGCATAATTAAAGGCATGTCTGAGCTACGGTAGGGCAAGAAGAGAGCAAAGACAGTGAGAAATAAAGCTTCGGATAAGGCATGGGCTAGGGATCTGATGCTAAGTTTGAAGCTAGGGCCGATTCTGGGGCTGAGGCTTGGTTTCAGCCCAGAGCTGAAGCTTGGCCTGAGTCTAGGTTTAAGGCTAGGCTTGAAGCTAAGGCTCGAGCTAGATCTCTGCCTAGAGCTGAAGCTTGGCTCAGGTTAGGGTTGAAGATTGGCTTGAGGCTATTGTTAAAGCTAGACTTGAAGCTAGGGCTAATTCTAGGGCTGCTGCTAGGGCTGAGGCTAAGGCTGAAGGTTAGGGCTGAGGCTAGGGCTAAGGCTAGGGCTGAGACTAGAGCTGGGGTTAGGGCTGAGACTAGAACTGAGGCTAGAGCTGAAACTACGGCTGAGGCTAGGGCTGAGGCTAGGGCTGAGGCTAGGGCTGAGGCTAGGGCTGAGGCTAGGGCTGAGGCTAGGGCTGAGGCTAGGGCTGAGACTAGGGTTGAGGCTAGGGCTGAGGCTAGAGCTGAGGCTAGGGCTGAGGCTAGGGCAAATGAACTGTTATAAAACTGAAGATTAATTTCGAAAAAGTATTTCATCATTCGTGTGCGGGCCATGAAAAAGTCTTGCGCAGTGGGCAAAAGAGGCACCCGTTTATTTATAATGTGCGGAAATACCTAAATTAGTCATAATTTTGAGGTTTTTTGGGTTTTTACTGTAATTTCGGTAATTTTAAGATTTTGGTCGGAGGGAGGACAATTTTAGGTAATTACGAGTTATGACATTTTTTTAAATTTCGGTGACAAAAAAAATTAAAAATCATTGAAATTTTTTATTTTCTAACTAAAAATTTTAAAATTAAAAATTTTAAATCTTACTGTAACATCAATTTTTTATACGGGATGGTCCAATGAGTTCAGTTTTGTATAATATACTCACTGTCTATTAGGTGCCGACATAAAGAATCCGCCACCCTTTGCCTGTTATTTCCTGTAAAAAGTGGCGGGTTCTTTATGTCGGCACCTAATATAATATTGCCATTTTTTATATTATGAATAGTAATAATGTCATTTATTATATAGTACTCTCTGTCTTTTTGTTTAATTCTTGATTAAAAACAACTCTTGAATGAGTTGTTTATAAATAGATAGCGCAAAGGAAATGCTTTGCGTGACACATGGCTACTTGTAACGAAATGTCATCATTACATGGAAGCGCCATTGGAACAAAGGATACTCTGGGCCATAAATAAGAAAATAGTGGTTGCTGGTCATTCCGGAAAGGAAGGGCGCGACTGGGGGCTGGGGCAGTGATAGGGGAAGGGGTAGGTTTATAGGGCTGAGAAGAACGAAGAATTGGAGTAGAGGGAGGGAAAGGAGGGGGAGGGGGGGGAGTAATCATTTTTATAAAAAATAATTTTTGGGGGTGTTATATTAGTAAAGGGTAGGGTAGAGTAAAATAGGGTAGGGTAGAGTAGGGTAGGGTAGGGTAGGGTAGGGTAGGGTAGGGTAAAAAAATTTGGCTTTAAAAAATTAGCTAAGGGTAACTTTTAATAAAAACAAAAAATTTAACCTTGCCAACAGGGCATTGCGTAACACACCCTCTCTATCGCCCCTCCTCATCCCTAGCGTTGCCTACTAACATTCCCCCCCCTATTTTTTATAAAAATTGGTTTTACCCCCCCCTTTTTCTTCTCTCTCCATATTTTTTTTCTTAATGAGCAAACTTTCTCTATACCACTTCAATGTCATAATATCCACCCCCTAAAGGCCCTCACTTCCAAAACCTCTTGACTCATGCGCCATATTCTGGCGCGTTAAGTGAGAAAGCATGTGTGAAATGGTCATTTAATCCGGTTGGGAGAAAAAAGAGCCGAGAGTTGAAGCCCGTTGTGTTTTTTTTTCCCGTATCCCCCCGAGAGATCAGGGCTTAATAATCGCCAGTTGGTATTTGCGCACCAAAAAAATCGACGAGATTGATGGGCCGCGCATTCTGCCAAAAAAGCCTTCATTGCCTTTTGAGGGTTTGGCGTGTGCCATTTTCCAACGTCTAATTTTGGTTTTTTTTTATTTTGGCGTGTTATTTAAAAATTTGTAAATGGGGGGAGGGTAGGCTATCACCAGGTAAGAGCAAAGCCAGGGTAAAGATATAACAAGTCTAGGGCAAGGAATGGACAAGGCTAGGGTTATGGTAGAATAACGCAGGTTTAGGCTATAAAAGACGAAATTAGGCTGTGGTAGCCGGGTGGCAGAGAAAGGAAAAGAAAGAAGTACGGATTGGGTTGAGCAGAAGTAAGACATTAGTTAAAGGCCAGGGCAAGGCCAGGGCAAGGCCAGAGCAAGGCCAGGGCAAGGCCAGGGTAGAGTTAAAACAATTTCCCCTTTCCTTCTTCTACCTCGTTTACCTCCGTCCCCTCCACCAACATTTCTCTTACCAAGGTGGCCCTTTTTGTTTACTGATAGTCTAGCTTTATCAATGCGACAAAGCTTGTTAGATGATTTTGCAAAAACAGTTTGAGACCACCGTTATTTTTTCGACACATTTTGATTTATAGCAGCCACCAATCTTTCATGAGGATTTGATTCTAAAGCACTTTTTGTGGATCTCACTATTGGTGAGAACCGGCTGTCATATCAGACTTATCAAATTTGACATTGGCATAGCTCTACCTTAACTGTAATTTAGCTCTACCTTTATCCAAATATAATCCTGATTAGGCTAGCCTAAAAAATAAAAAAATGATGACACTAAAATAGCCGAGCATACTGTAGCTGTCTTTTACAAAGTTTTCCACCGATTCCCAAGGGCAATATCATGGGAAATGTGTCGCTTAGTGTTTTTGATGTAAAACAAGATAAGCAATCTCTTTCGGCGGATACTTGATGTACTGCAAAGTGTCATTAATGCTTTTACACGCTTTCAAGTCTAATATCTTTGTCAAACCCTACCCTACCCTACCCTACCCTACCCTACCCTACCCTACCCTACCCTACCCTACCCTACCCTACCCTACCCTACCCTACCCTACCCTACCCTACCCTACCCTGCCCTACCCTACCCTACCCTACCCTACCTTACCCTACCCTACCCTACCTTACCCTACCCTACCCTACCCACCCTACCCTACCCTACCCTACTCTTTCTTGCTTTATCCTAACTTTTATTATCGTTCCTACACGGCTTCCTGTTCCTTCCCCCCCCTTTATTTAATCGTTGCTGTAGTCCGCCCCCCCCTCCCTCCTATCTTCCTTCTCTAAACTTAACGTGCTCTCTTCTGTTGACTTTTTTAAATTAAAAAAAAAGCTTTAAATTTAATTTTTCAGGTACAGTATCACCAATTCAAGCCATTATCAAACTTCTACTTCCATGTCATAGCAAATGTAATGAAAGACGAGGAACGTTGTATTGGCACTCAAACAGACCCAGTTAGTTCGACAAGTGAATTAAGCGACGACGACATGAATTTCGACCAAAATTATGATGACTGTAACTACGAGGACGAAGGGCATTATGAGGAGCTAGACTTGCCGTAGGTTTTAATTTTTAAAAACTACAATTTTTTAAAATTTTGAAGAATTTTGTTTTATATCATTTTGTTGCTAAAGCAAAAACACCTGCAAAAACAATAAAACTGTCACATTAAAATTTTTAACTAATCTATGTTAAGTTTTCTTTGTGTTCGAACATTTTTGAGGCATTTTTAAAACAGCTTTAATGGGGATAGGGCGGCAAACATCAAAGGCATGGGATATTAGTCCAAGTTAAAACAATCGAAAATTAAAAGTGGTGAGACAGTGAGACATGAGGGTAAAAAAACAAAGATGGAGTAAGGACACAGAAAGTAAGGCTAGACTAAAGAGCATGCTATTCCCTACTTCTGCTTTCAAGCAATTATCAGTTAAGCCTTAGCCTGGCCTTGTGTCTGATTATGAGCTTGAATCTCACCCCGATCTAAGCTTGAGTTTGATCCTAAGATTAAACCTAAGATAGGGCTTGCGTTTGAGCCTGAGCTTGAACCTGAGCTTGAGCCAGAGCCAGAAGCTGAGCTTCAGCCAAAACTTGAACTTGGTCCTGAGCTTGAGTCTGAGTTTAACTCTGAGCTTGAGTTTAAGCCTGAGCCTGGGCCTGAGGTTGAGTCTGAGCTTGAGCTTGAGATTGAGCCTGAGCCTGAGCCTAAGACTGAGCTTGAGATTGAGCCTGAGCCTGAGCCTAAGACTGAGCTTGAGATTGAGCCTGAGCCTGAGCATCAGTCTGAGCATGAGCTTGAGCTTGAGCCTGAGCCTGAGCCTGAGCCTGAGCCTGAGCCTGAGCCTGAGCCTGAGCCTGGGCCTGAGCCTGAGGGTGAGCCTGAACATCGCTTAGATAACATAAAACACGATTACCAGCCAAACTAAAAACTTTTAAAAACTAATAACTCTACAGTAAAAAACATTGACCATTAATGACAAACAAGATGTGTTCGACAAGTATAAACAAGCCTATTCGAGCCCATAGGATCAAAGTGGTTTTATGGCAAGACGCTGTCACATTCGAGGCCATTAATCTTCTTGGGCCGCTTGATTTGAGTTGAATTTGCCAGACGGGCAGTGATTTTAATTAAGAAAAACTGCTTTTTGAGACTTTAGGTGGTTTTTCGCCCAAACGCTTATTATTTTCATGCATTTTGCTGGCTGGCGTGGACAGGAATTATTGGTTTTATGCATTTTGGGAAGTTGGCGTGAGTATCCAGCAGGCAGGGCGTGGATATATATTAGGTTTAGGGTGGGGTAAAAAATTAGGCTTGGCAGTGATAAAAAGTAGCCTTAAAATAGCTAAAACTAGGCGAGGGTAACAATAAGGCTTAAAGTGGCTAAGAATTAGGCTTGTCACCGGTAGAAATTTCGCTTGGTGGAGATAAGAAGAATTTTACTTTGCTGTCGTATGAATAAGGTATGGGTAGAAATGGCTGCCGGTCCGGTTCCGACTTTAATACGGGTTGGTCCACTCGGTTCAAAACGCATTTTCAGATTGGTCTGGTCTGGTCAAAAAATTCTGGACCGCGGTCTGGGTCTTGGTTTTAGGACTAAACCGGTAGTCACCTCTAGGTATGGGTGGGTGGTGAAGAAACGGTAAAAAACTTTTTTTTTTATTTTTTGCATTGGAAAGAAAGTTTTTGCAATTTAAAGTTTGGTAAAAAAAAGTTCTTGCCATTTTTTGTTTTGTAAAGAAAGTTTTTGCCATTTTTTGTTCTGTAAAGAAAGTTCTTGCCATTTTTTGTTTTGTAAAGAAAGTTTTTGCCATTTTTTGTTTTGTAAAAAAAGTTCTTGCTATTTTCTGTTTTGTAAAAAAAAGTTCTATTTTTTGTATTTTAAAAAAATTTTTTAATTTTTTTTTATTTTGGTTTGCCCTGAATTAAATTAATGTTGCTTTGTCTTATCCAACCTCAAAATTGCAAAAATTGTAAACTCAACTCTTGTTCAACCCTAATCACCTTATGTCCAAACCATTGTACCAATTTTTCAAACCCATTTCTTAAAAAACCCTTGTTAAACATTAGGTAACAAAGAATGGAGTTTAAATTTACGAAATTGTTGTTTTTGACTAATCGATCCGGAAATTTATGGCGGATAGGTTTAGCGCAATACTTTGGCCGTTTTAATGTGATTGAAATGGGTCGATTAGGATGGGTTCGAGGTTTAAGGCCTGTGAAATGGATTAGAGAACGCGTAGTTAAGCCTAAGCTGATTAGGGCTACGTATGAGAGGTAAGGAGAGATTGTTTTGTAAAAAAAGTTATTGCTATTTTATGTAATGTAAAGAAAGTTCTTGCCATTTTAAGGTTTGTAAAGAAAGTTCTTGCTGCTTCTTGTTTTGTAAAGAAAGTTTTTGCCATTTTATGTTTTGCAAAGAAAGTTCTTGCCATTTTTTGTTTTGTAAAGAAAGTTTTTGCCATTTTATGTTTTGCAAAGAAAGTTCTTGCCATTTTTTGTTTTGTAAAGAAAGTTCTTGCATTTTTTTTGTTTGTAAAGAAAATTCTTGCCATTTTAGGTCTCATAAGCTAAATTTTTGCATTCTTAAGTCTCATTTCTTGTCTAAACGTCCAAAACTATATAACATTTCCCACCCCAAAAGTTTTGTTAGCCGTTCCTTTAGGCTTATTAATCACGAAGAGACCATTAATTTGTTTAAGTTTCTCTGTTTTTCGGTTTATATGCTGGAACACCTGCTGTTTTTTTTTCGCTGGACTAAATCAAAATCGGTTGGTAGATTGGAAACCCTAAGGCAAAACAAAAGAAAAACGAACGTGAAAAGTGTTGGAAAGTTAATGTGCTCGGGGCGTGGGCTAATGTTTTGGGAGGGGGGTTTTGTGACTTTTGATAAGTCATCATAAGCTAACTTTGGTTGAGTTTTGGCACTTTTTGGGTTATTTTTAAAAATATGTGACTTTGATATGACTTGTTATGAAAAATACGGCATTTTTAGGTACATAACATCATAGATTTTGACAATGCTTTTTATTTACCTTTAATTTTTTTTGCACTTAGGAGTTACAAAGCCTATTACGGAGAACAAAGTATTGTAGACGCTTTATATTTTATCCTGCCTTGTTTATTGTAAGATATAATAGGGCAGGGAAAAATAACTATGTTATTTGGGTTTGGAATGTAGTAGGGATATATTAAAGTATGAAGCTAAAGTTTTGCAAAGTATCTTTGGCTCGGCACATTAATTTAGGTATAGAAGAGAAGAATAGGCTTATCAGAATCCTTAGGTTTGGGAACAATTTTAAGTTTGGTCATTAGGGTAGGGTAGGTGACCGTAGATGACAGTAAGTGATTGAGGTGAGGGATTGAGGGTTGGGTAACGAAGGATGTTAGGGTAGGGTAGGGTAGGGTAGGGTAGGGTAAGGTAGGGTAGAGTAGGGTAGGGTAGGGTAGGGTAGGGTAGGGTAGGGTAGGGTAGGGTAGGGTAGGGTAGGGTAGTGTAGGGTAGGGTAGGGTAGGGTAGGGTAGGGTAGTGTAGGGTAGGGTAGGGTAGTGTAGGGTAGGGTAGGGTAGGGTAGGGTAGGGTAGGGTAGGGTAGGGTAGTGTAGGGTAGGGTATGGTAGGGTAGGGTAGGGTAGGGTAGGATAGGGTAGGGTAGGGTAGGGTAGGGTAGGGTAAGGTATAATTTTTTTGAAAAAAAAACGTTTTTAAAAAATTTTGGTTTTTTTTTAAATTTAAAATTTTTTTAAAACTTTTTAACTCTACTATTTTTAACAATGATATCATAAATATGAAAGTTCACTTTTCTCCTTACCTCAACTTTTTATTTTTAGAAGCGCTGTCAGCATGGACCGCATCCTGCTCTTGGATCAGCCTGTCGATTATGAGGTGAGTTTCTGTCGATTATTCGAACGTTTTATTTTTTTCGTCAGAATTTAAAAAAAAAAAGAAAAAAAACGTTTATTTTTATCAAATTTGAAGAAAAAAAAACGGCTGCTAAATTTTTGTCATTCATTAGGGTGGTTATGACTTTGAGCCGAGTTTGTGTGGGATTTCAAAGGTTTTGAGTTTTAAGGTTCATCTTTTACTTCCTCAATTGTTCTGGGGGAGGTAGTTGTGCGAACAACAGATTTTTTTGAGAAGAGGCGTGTATAAGGCGGGTTAAAAATTTTTGTTATGGGTGGGGATCTTTTTAGATTTCTGTAAAATTTTTTTTTTCAATTTGAATTTTGTAAAGAAAGTTCTTGCCATTTTATAATCTGTAAAGAAAGTTCTTACAATTTCTTTCTTTGTAAAAAAAGTTCTTGCCATTTCTTGCTTTGTAAACAAAGTTTTTGCCATTTGTTGTCTTGTAAAGAAAGTTCTTGCAATTTTGTAGTTTGTAAAGAAATTTCTTGCTAATTTATGCTTTGTAAAGAAAGTTCTTGCCAAAAGATCTTTTAATCATTTTATGTTTCTGTTTAGTCTCTACCCCCTCCCTCCTTACATGCTCAAAATATCATAACGTACCTTACCCTACCTTATATTATCTTACGCTACACTTCCCTAGCTTTTCCTAAAAAATCACGTTGCTTTCATGAATCAGCCCCTCCTCGCCGTACTCTCTCATTAGTCGCTTCGGCTCTAATCAACAGACCATTAATCCTTTTACCGCACTAAAAAACCCATCTAGAATTGTTTGTCGTTCTGGCCGGCTGTTAGGGGAACAGAAGGTAGTGGGGGGATGTCATTGTCAGCGCCTTATGACAACTTTTCGTGCCTCCGGCGATGGGAAAAAGAATTATAATGCAAAAGAAAGCAGAGATCGAGGGGTTTTTTGCACCTAGACTGGTCTAACAATCGCAGTTTGCTATGATTTATGCTCTGATATGATCCATGCGGAACGGTTTGGACATTCTCAGTGAAATATTGCTCTACAGGGGATAAAATTGGTACTATAATAGTCATATTGGTACTATAATATTGGTTTAAGTACCTTAATACTAATCTTTATACTATAGTACTGAGCAAAGTACTACGATATTGACTTATATACTGTTATACTAATTACAGTACTACAATATTTCTAATATTACTAAACGTTTTACTATAGTACTGCAGAACTGATCTAAGCACCGAAATATTTATGTTAGTACTATAAGCTTTACTATAGTACTATAGTACTGATCTAAGCATTTTTATATAATATTAACTTGGAGACTAGAAAGCTGTCTTTAGTACTGTAATATTAATATAGTACTGTGATACTGCTCAGTACGATAGTATCAAATTAGGTACTTTTATATTACTTTGAGTACCATAATGTGCTATAAGATCAGCCTATGTACTATAATACTCTTCTTAGTACGATAATATTGAATTAAGTACCTAATATTGCTCCGGGTACTGTAATTACTACTAAGCTCTATAAAATACTACCTAAAACCTTAAAAAATTAAAAATGCTACCCCAATTCCGACTACCAACCCTATCAAAACGTCTCTCCTCGTCTCTATCTAGCCTAGACAGCTTTGACTGGTTTGCAACCTCACAATTCTTTACTGATATACTTACTATTCAGGAGGTCGTACTAACAAAGTCCAAATCAAAGAGGCTCGGGTTAACCTTATGTTACGGTGGCACCGCCGACGACGATACCGACATCTTCATCAGTCAGGTAAGAGAGTTACTGTATGATAAAGCCTAATGTAAGAAAAACAAAGGGTTATGTTACAGTATCCTACCCTACTGTATCTTACAGTATCTTACCCTACAATACCTTACCCTACCCTACCCTACCCTACCCTACCCTACCCTACCCTACCCTACCCTACCCTACCCTACCCTACCCTACCCTACCCTACCCTACCCTACCCTACCTTACCCTACCCTACCCTGCCCTACCCTAGCCTAGCCTAGCCTAGCCTAGCCTAGCCTACCCCACCCTGCCTTCTTGTTACCTAAAGTGCAACAAATCACACGTTTTTAGCCTAAAACCCTCTCTAAACCTCTAAAAAGTTTAAGAAACCGGCGAGTTTGAAACAAACTTTGAGTAGAATCTAATCTCTAAACAAATTCAAGACAAAATACGTCAAAACGTATCCGATTACTTCATAATTTTCGGTTTTTAATGGCCGAAAAAACAAAAATTTGCGACAAAACCATGATTAAACGTGTTTTCGTTCAGATCGAGCCGGGCAGTGTGGCGGACCGTGACGGTCGAATACGGGTGGGCGACCAGATTCTGCAGGTAAGTGGTGCACTTTTTTTAAAATTTTTATTGAGGATGTTGCTATTGGGTTACTAAAAGTAATGTTTCTAAAGTTCAGACTTTCATCTATTTTATAGATTGTCAGGTTTTTTTAAATGGTCCCATCATTTGAAAAATGGTCCCATAATGATTAGTTATGGTTTTACTTTTTTAAAAATAGTTGAATATTTTAAAAATCTGTGCCACCTTCTTAAAAATGGTCCTATTTTTTTAGAATTAGTCTCGTCTTTACAGATTTGTCTCATCTTATTTGAAATTGTCTTCACTTTTTAAAAATGGTTCCATTTTCTTAAACATGGTTCCATCTTCTTACTAGACATGAACAACGGGCCGGGCCGGGCCTGAAAGTTAATCCCGGCCCGCGGGCCGGGCTTTAAAATAGGGCCCGAGCCCAAAAAAAAATTTTTTTAATTTTTTAAAATTGTTTATTTCAATCCCGGTTTATGTTTTTCGATTTTATTGGGTTCTATGATTCATAAATGGTCTAAAAAAACAATTTAAAGCCAATTTTCCGTTTAGTTTTTGAGTTTTAAAATTTTTAAAATTTTTTAAAACGGGCCGGGCCGGGCCTAGAAATTTTCTGATCGGGCTGGGCCGGGCCTGACCAAAACCAAAAACCTAAAAGGTAGGCCCGGCCCGGCCCGTTGCTCATGCCTAAAAACTAGGCCCGGCCCGTTGCTCATGTCTACTTCTTACAAAATTTTCAAAGAGGCAGTACTCTATCTGCCCCGCTCAGAAACAGCTCAAAATTTTTATGTGAATTCCTTGTATCATCAATACTACCTATAATAAATTTTAGCTCACGTTTTTAAGTTTTAAATTAGAATTATTTTGCTTTTCCGCCAATTTGGCAAATTTGGCATTGTGTTTCAAGCACTTTTTTCAACTTTTCAAACAAGCTACGCTTACAAATTTAAAAATGTAGGTTCATTTTAAGGTATTATATTAGTATATCAAAGAAAAGTGTTTAAAAGTCAAAAAATGACAAAGTTATAAGCTTGAAACACAATGCCAAGTTGGCGGGAAATTCAAAATGTCATTTTTCAATCTCGATTTTCTCGAGATTTCTGAAAAGCGCAATTTAGTATTTTGCTGAAGATCTTATATTTACATGACATTTCTATGTAAACAGCTTGAAGTCAATCAGAACGGGGCAGGTCGAATACTTTCCTTGTTAGCTTTTCCTTATGTATATATTTGGTCTTTGTTGTACTAACTTTTTCTTAATTATCCTGTTTTATCACTGCACTATTAAGCATGACCAATACAAATTTGCAAATCATGCAATAAATTTGCCAAACCCATTCAAACCACATATAACTGTCGAACAACAGTAGAACAAGTTTTATCACCAATGTCATAAAACTTAATGTGTAAAACGAATCAATCGTTTTTCAGATAAACGGCCAAAGCGTTCGAACTCGAGACGAAGCGATGCGCCAATTTGCACTAAACAGCTCCAATCACACGTCCCTGCTGTTGGCTAGACCGTCCGCCGAGGCATGTTTTGAACTCGTTTTGACGTGATTTATGTTATGTTTTTGGGTTCGAAGGGTTTGTTAAGAAAATTTGTTTAAAAGGCCTATTAATGGATTTAAGGGTAGAGTAAGGTAGGGATAAGACATGACAAGGTGAGTAGGATAGGGTTAAGTAACATAGGGTAAGGTTGGTTAGGGTAGGGTAGGGTAGGGTAGGGTAGAGTAGGGTAGGGTAGGGTAGGGTAGGGTAGGGTAGGGTAGGGTAGGGTAGGGTAGGGTAGGGTAGGGTAGGGTAGGGTAGGGTAGGGTAGGGTAGGGTAAGATACGATAAGGCATGACAAGGTAAGTAGGACAGGTCGATTAGGATAAGATAGCGTAGGGATGAATAAGGTAAGTTAGGGTAGAAAAGGTAGAGTAGAATTGAGCAGGGTCGGGTCGGGTTGAGTAGGGTAGGATAGGGTAGGGTACTAAACTAATTGAACGACTCATCTTCCTCCCCCCCCCCCCACCTATAACATCAATACTTTTCAGCAAGACGACGACGATGAAGACGTGCATGTTGTAGTGGAAAAGCCCGATCCAGACATGTGTAAACTAGCCGAAAATCTTCAAACCCTAGCCGAGTACGACAGTAATACTGAGAATTCACTTCAGCATGAAAAGGATTCAGGAGTTTCACGAACGACGGATTCTGAATCCGATATGAAAGGTGTTAAAAAGGGAAAATCCTCAGATTTTGAACAAGAATTAACGGCGCTTCACCGTGAAATGGAGAACGTTAGGTTGGAGTGTGCACGGCTGATGAAAAAGCATATGACCGAACGTAAGCCTATGAACTCAGCCTTGATTGAGATGTTGGAGAAGATTAATCAACCGTTTTCGACCGGTAGTTCTAATGCAAGACCTCAGAATACAGTACCACCTCATACAGTATCACATCATACACTGACCCCCAACACATCCTCCTCTCATACAGTACCATCAAGTACAGTAATCTCCAACAGAAATGCTATGTTTACTGTAATTGAAAAAAAGCCTAGCCAGCTGTCAGAGAAAAGTAACATCAAATCACCTACACCATTGAGGAGAACTACAAAAGAAAATGACACATTGACTAGAAAACCAAAAGTGGGGAAGCTTGGAGTACAGTACGAAGAAACAACCTCATCCGCTTATAATACTGGCGGTGATTCATGTAGATCTACTCCCAACAAAAATGAATACATGCATGTTGATACAATGCTTAATGGGCAAACGTAAGATTTCTTTATATTAGGGTAGGGCAAATCGTATATTTAAGAAAGGGTCGGCTGTAAAAGCTACTGTATAGTAGCGAGAACATGGCATGTGATTATGGTACTGTATATGCCAGGTGTAAGACCAAAGCTAAAGCTAAAGCTAGAGCTCGGGCTACAGTTAAAGCGGACTCTAGGCTAGGGCTGAGGCTACTAATTAAATTATTAAGCTTATGTTTTCAGCAGGCCAGCCAACCTCTCAATCCCCTACAGATGTCCAGAATCTACCTTAATGTCGCCGACTTCATCAGAACACCCCTACCAGACAATTGATACACCTGTGGCTAGTACAACTAGCCCACCAGTTCAATTTCGACTACCTCAATTCAACTTCCAACCTCCAAAAGACAAGAAGAGTTCGCTACGGCGGTGCCAAATCCAGCCTCCTGCTCAGCTACGGCAAATCACGTAGGTTTTGACGAGTAGGACCAATTCGCAAAAAAAATTGTTTTATCAAATAGGACTGATTCACAAAACTTTGTTTTTTTTTTGATTTTTTTTATCTAGTAGGACTGATTAACAAAAAAATTTTTTTTATTTTCAAACTGTAAAACTCCCCCTTTCAGCTTCCGACCAGGTGACATCATGTACACCTCCCCCGACAAGCTCAGCGAAACCATAGCCCTACAACAACGTCTACTAAAACAGTCGCTTAATGATCCACAACCATCCACTCTCAAACCAACAGCTTCTAATGTATCATGTGTCACATCGGCCCAAAACTACAGTAATCGTGTATATGACTCGAGGACATTGGAACAACCAGGCACTTACGAATGGAAAATCAAGAGAAGAGCGGATGGTACACGGTATATTACGAGGAGACCGTTGCGGTGAGTTTTTATACGTTATTTTAAACAAAATACTATATAGAAGGCTAAATACTATATAGTACACTACCAAAAATCATTTAAAATTGGTTGTACATTTCTCATAACATGATTAGACGTTAGGTTTAACGTTAAAATAACAAATTTTGAGCTTTTTCATGCTACGTACTATATACTAAAAAACAATTTTTTTTATTTTTAAAACCCTCAAAAAAATTTCTATGCTTAAAGTTGTTATAAAAGTGTCATTTTTAGCACATTTTCAATCTCGTACTATACAGCACGGTACTAAAAAAAGTCAAATTTATCTTTAAAACAGTTAAGAAACGTTTAGAATTGTTTAGTAGTTTTGAAAACAATATGAAATTAAATTTTTCAGACAACGTGTTATATAGCACAATCCTGAAAAATGAAAAATTTTGGTGCTGAGCTTTATTAAATTATTTATAGTAGTTTAGTGGTACAGAAAAACCATATTTTGCATTTTTGAATCTACGTACTATATAGCACGATACTCAAAAATAAAAAAAAACTCATAATAAAACTGATCAAAATCAACCAGACCATTTTCAGCTCCCAAGTCCTAAAAGCTCGCGAAGAACAACTGAACCGAGAGCGTACTGGCATGTCCACCGACGATGACGCCTGTTCCGACCTAAAAACCGGTAAATTCTGGACTCGACAAGAACGAAAGCAGCATCTGGAGAAACAGCGTCAGAAGAAGATGAAGAAGGCTCAACTGATTCAAGAGAATCGACGATACCGTGAGACTGAGCCCTTGATTCAAACCTTGTCTGATCGAAAGCAAATGCGACAGAATAATCGACAGTTTTTCGACAAATTCACCACAATTCAGGAGTTTCTGGCGCATGGAGCCAGAGACCCGACGCTGCGGCCGATTGGAGGGGTTTTGAGTGTCACTACTGTTTAGGAAGGGCAAAAAGAAGGGGTTTGAGAATAAGGGTTTTGGCCTAAGGGCTTTAACTTTTAGTCTTAAAGTTAAAAAAATTTTTAAAAAATTTTTTGGTTGAAAATTTTTTTTTGTCAAAAAATTGAAAATACTGACCACAAAAAGTCATAAATGTCATTTTTCGCATTAATAAGCCGTTTTTCAACAAAAAAAATTTAAAAAATTGTTTTGAAAAGTTTTTTGGCCAAAAAATTAAAAAACCCTCCCTCCGGCTAAAAAATAATAAAAACCCGCCCTACTGTATACGTTATAATTTTTTTTTCATTTTAGAAAAAAATATGTAACTTTACATTGAACACTTCAAAGTCAAGTCTTACTACTATATTTGTGTGCTTTACTTATTTATTCTCGCATTTACACTTTTAAAACCAAATTGTAGTCTACTCTTATTACGTACTTTACTGAAAGTAATGTCATTTTATTGTGGAACAACTTATTGTGAATATATTTCGGTGACAACATTTTGATTAATAAACGATTATAAAAAAAATTGGCGTTCCATCAATTGCCCGGCCGTATTTTACCCGACTCTAAACTTTCCTACCGTGCCTTGTCTTGTACCGCCCTGCCTTGCCTAACCCTACCCTATCCTAAACTACGGGCCAGACCGGCCCGACCTTGAGCAAAATTTTGGTCGGCCCGAACCTGAAAATTAGGCCCAGCCCTTTTCTCACGTCTACCTATCCTACCCTATCCGACCCTACCCTAGAACGCACTACCATATCCAGCCCTGCCTTGTCTTGGAATGCTATGTCTTTGCCCTATCCTTTTTTTGTACTGCACTGCCTTGCTCTGTCTCGTCGTTGCACTGTTCTTAAAGTGCTCTGCCTCGCCTCGCCTTGTAATGTCCTATCCCGTCCTGCCCTATCTGATCTTACCCTACTCTCCCCTTAACCAATGCTAACCTACTTTTCCACATGTTGAAAAAAGCTTCCGGTATTAAAAAACAAAATCATTAACAAAATCATTCTATCGTTTTCTAGAAACCCCACCATTAATTGGCTGAAGGGATTAAACCGATCTAGCACCCAGGTAACTAATCCAGCCATCCCTCTGTTTGATACCGCTTTATATAAACCTACTGAAACTTTTCGAATTTCCTCTAAAACTACAATTTTCATTTGAATTACTCATACAATTCTTACATTGTTTTACATTTTGGCTTGTTCTTTAGGCTAATGTTTAAAGGTTTACTACCACTAACAGCTATATATACTTGAATTGAAATTAAGAAAGAAACTATCACGTTGGAACGTATTTTACCCCGATATAAGTACAAAATATTATTGTACAAAATGCTAAAAACAAATATTCTCTTTTGCTTATTCATTACTGTATCTAACTCACTAACGTGTTATGAATGTGAACAGAGCGCTGAGCCATGTACAGAGACTTGTCAGGGCACAAGTTGTGTTACTTGTAAGTAGGGTAGGGTAGAGTCAAATCAGGTAGACCCGAGTAGGCCGGAATGTTAAAGAAGGACTAGGAAAGATCAATGATAAGATAGGGGAAGGTAGAGTTCGATATGTTCAGGGAAGAATACCGGAATCAAAATTTAGTAAGATAGGATGAGGTGAAGCTAAGATAACACTAGGTAAGGGCAATTTAAGGTATGATAGGTTCAGAGAATGGTACGAGGATCAGGGTTCAGTAGGGCAGGGTAGGGTGAGACTAAAGTAGAGCTAGGAAAAGGCAATGTTAAGGTAAGAAATGGTATAATATAAGGGTAGAATAGGCCACAGTAAAACCAAAGTAAGGGGAGGAGGTAAGGCTAAGAAAAGCCTGAGGTTAAGTAAGGTAGGGTAAGATAGGGTAGGGTAAGGTACCATAGAATAGGGCAAGCCAACATATGATAGAATGGGTACGGTGGGGTAAGGTAGATTAAAACCGTGGACCTACGGTAGACCAGACTTCGAGCTAAAAATCTCCCATTCCAGCCTTCGCAACCATCGATATCTCATCCTACCGCCAAACCACCTACTGTATGTCGGATGGAATTCAAAACGGTTGTATGGGTGACATGAATACCCAAACATTTTACTGTTACTGCACCACCGACTACTGTAATACCCCATTGAATACTACAATCCACAACACAGCTACTATGGCTTCAACAACGACCACTACGTATTACTTTACCCCAACTACTACAACATATGCTTCTGGCCGAAAACGAAGAAATGCTTTTGAAGAACGGATCCAAGAAGCTCTTGAGAGACTTTGACAACCTTTTTTTCGTTATTTGTTAGATAGTTTTGATAAAAAATGTCATAAAAATAAAAAATTAGAAGTCATACTACATATAAGTCATATAAATGTAAATTGTCATCACTTTTTTTCTTTAAAAATTTAAATTTACAATCGTGTTAAAAATGGACTTAACGAAAAAATTTATTATGTTAACAGCCAAAAAAATTGTACAACCTTCGTTATCTTTAAAAAAACCATCGTATTTACATATTATTAAATAAAAAAAAAAAACTATAAGTTTTTTTTAATTGAACTTGGTTTTTCCCCACCCCATTTGCTTTTTTTTAAAAAAAATGAACCCGCCTGAAAAGTTTTTTTTCGACTTTCTCCAAAAAAAACACCTTTTCACTTCCCCCCCCTCCCCCCCACCTAAAATTTTTTTCACCACCCCCATCTAAATTTTTTTTTACCACCCCCCCCTCTCAAATTTTTTACCCTTCCGTCCAAAAGGCTGTTTTACACCTCTCTCGAAAAACATTTCTCAAAAACGTCATCCTCACACCCCCCCCCGTCCCTTTAAAAATAGAACCTAATAGCATGCCTCTAATGAAGGCCTTCCTATATCCACCTCAATCACCCTAAACCAACCCCTAAAGGCTTAACTTCGGGATACCAAAGGGTGCGATTTGCTCACTAGAGCCACTTTCATCACGCACTTCAGGTTCCTTTTTCATTGGTAATTGAGACGGATCTTCGGGCATTTGTTGTTGCGTTGGATCATACATACTGCCCATATAACGTGACATCAACACACCCATACCTTCAATCATAGCTAACACCGTGCCACCTAGAATTGCTGAACCAGCCATAATTCGAGGGCCTGATCTGATTGATAATATGGCACCGGTCAAGGAGCCTGAGGCTATCGGGTTTAGTGAGTCTTCCTGGAAGAGGGATAGGTATTGGCTTTGCTTATAATTTTTTTTTCTACACTATTCTATCCTATTTTACCCTACCTTAATCTACCTTAGTTTAAAATATCCTGCCTTACTTTAAGCTAACCTGACTTGCCCTACAGAACATTATAACATCAAAAAAACCTCATTTTCGGCCCAAAAACCCCCGTTTTCAACCCAGAAATAACATAAACCCACCTTTTTCCTTATAGCCACCAACGTACAATCGATCGTACTGAACATACCACCCCATGCTGAAAACTGACCGCCTGTCAGTGGTGATTTCAACCTCAATTCAGCGAACATACTGACCAGTTTTTTGTTTTTAGCCGCGTTTCGATAGGCCGAAACTGAATGAAATATCGATCCACCAATCAAACCCATACAGAAAGCACTCCCAATGTCATCAAAGATTCGGTAGGGGCTAAAAATTAACAATAAATTAAGGTTTACATTCCAATCACTTTTAAAATCTCAATTTTTAATCAACTTTCATCAATTTGAAGCCTAAAACAATAAAAACACCAAAAAAGATAAAATTACCATGGCTCTCTAGTGTATTCATCCATTGTACAACGCTGTAAAAAAGCTTACAGCTTTGTTTTAATATTTACAGATCAACCCAGCCACGTATGATATCTAAAAATCCATTCTAAAACAATTATACAAGCGTATCTACTACAACATCAGAAAAATCACGATATAAAGGCCCAAACCTTTTAAATTCATATAAATTAACCCTTACGTCAATTTCTAAACTTTTACTAATAAAAACAACCTTCCTTATATACAACATACCAGAAAAATCAAAGTGTATACATTAACAGAAATTAAATAGGCAATAATTTCAAATAAATACCTTAATTTAGACAAATATCAAAAACTTGAGCACAAAATCAAAGTGAATATATTAAAATATTAATCCCTGCCATTCCTAAACGTTTCTTCTAACGATTGATACTTCCACGCATCGTCTTTAGCCTGTTTTACAGCTTCCAACAATGCTTTCACTCGATTTTCATGAAGTTCTGCAAAAAAACATTATCAAATCAAAGTAAAATCAACTTAAACAACCCTGAAAGCCTAAATTTATCAACGCAAGACCTTGAACAACATCAAAAAAACCGAAAACAACGTCAAAACATCAGAAATTCTTTGAAAACTTTGACAAGACCATAGACAATGTCACAGAGATCTAAAACAACATCAAAATGCTGTGAACTCTTTTCCCAACGTCGAGAAGACCATTGACAAAGTTAACAAGCCTTCTAACATCATTGAAAAGACGTCAAATTAACCCGGCAGACGGGCGTTAATCCGTGAACACCTAAACCCAAAAACAACACTAAAAAGATTACCTTTTTCATAGATGTTCCTATCCTTGTCGCCCTTCGTTTCGTTCCGCAATCGTTTATCGTATTCTGTAAATTACATTAGTTGATAAAACAAACATCACTCCGCATTTTGACAAGGTTTTGCACTTGTAAATTTCAGCAACAGGTCGAGAACAGATTAAAATCGTCAATTTTTTAAAGAAAAACTGGTAGAACTACTTTTGTTGCCATTTTTACTTAAACTTTTAAAAAGAATAACCTTTATATTTACTATAAGAATGTTCCAAACAAAAGAAAGAAGCTTTTATCAACAACTTCCATCCGAAATCGAAGCAAAAACACCTAAAACTCAACAAAAACTATATTAACATACCCGTGATCTTGTCGTTGGTCACAGCTTTTGACTTAGAGACACTTCTGGTCTGCGGACGATGCATATCAATGTCAAAAGTGTCAATTTAGCTCCAAGACAGTGTAATTTTACAACTTTGTTTACTCGAAACAATTTGAAAAAATAATTTTTGTTTTTCCAAAAGGAAAAAATAGGACGCAGCTCAGAGAACGGTTCGCAGGTCGCAGAGAAGAGTGTTTGGGGAGCTTCGGATTTTGAGAAGATAAAACGTTAAAATCATGTTTTGGGCTTGTTTTATGGGGCTGATTTAAAGATATTTTATGTTTATGTGTTTTGAAATATTAACTTTTATATTTCGCGTTGAAATGTTAAAAAATATTGAAAAATTATAGAAGTGTTATCAATATTTTAGTCCATTACAAATTGAACCGTGTTTGTATTAGGTTGAAATTTATATTTTTATAAAGCCAAGACATGTATCTTTCATTTTTTATACGTTTCATGTGGGTTTATATTTGACAACTTTGAAAAATTTGGAAAAATCGACCGAATTCTTCAATTTTTCAACAATTTACTAAATTTTTTTTCAAAAACTTATTGGCAAAAATTCTGTTCCCAGACATTGATGTCCTTTTGACAGTAGGAACTTTGGCTACTGTATGATCATAGTAGTTGTTGTTTTTGAAGCGCTAATGGTCCAGTGGTTAGGACGCTGCCCTCCCAAGGCAGAGACCCGGGTTCGAATCCCGGTTGGCGCAAACCTTTGATTTTTTGAATTTTGACAAATTGATGGTATTGGTCGACATAGAGGCAGAAGATTCAAAAATGTAACAAAACGGCCAATAAACTTTGACCGTAATTTTTTTTGTGATGGCACAAAAAATACAGCTAAAAACAGAGGTGATGACAATACAATATTATCATAAATATTATAAAAATAAACCACCACAACAATTTCCAACGTAAAATACTAATAAAGAACAAAATAATAACACATAATAACATAAAAACAACAATGAAGAAAGATCACACAAACAAGAGAGACGACAGACACTTTTTTGGTTGGGGGCCTTAAACCATGAGGAGCAAGACCCCTTGCACGTTTTGTTTAGTTGTTTTTTGAAAGCATGGTCCATATCACTTTATTCTTCCTTGTTATTCTCATACATTCAGTAGTCTTTCTTTTGTGTGTTATTTTGCTATGCGTGTGCTTATTAAACCAACGTTATTTTGGTTAAAAAGTAAGGTGTGTCTACGTTGTTGTCGAATTATAATATAACTTTACGAGTGAGATTGTAGTTGCTACAAAACATACTGTGCTATTCTTTTGGTATTGAGAGAATAAAACTATAGAGAGCGCTTGAAGATAGCCAATATAATGTAATTGTAAAAAGCGTGCAAAGATGACATTGAGCTTCACAACTTGTGCAAAATAGTTCATAAGGCGGGGAGGAAAGAGCGGCAACTAAACTTTGTTTTAATTTTGTTTACCTTTGTACGTACTGTACATTTTTAAGGAAAGGCAAGGCAAGGCAAGGCAAGACAAGACAAGGCAAGACAATGCAAGGCAAGGCAAGGCAAGGCAAAGGCAGGACAATGCAAGGCAAGGCAAGGCATAGGCAGGGCAAAGGTAGGGCACAGGCAGGACCAAGGCACGGCAAAGGCAGAGCAAGGCACTTTAACCATGCTTTTATAAACAATTTTAAAAAACCACAGGTTAGTACATTAACACCAGAAGTAGATAGCTTAACTTATATTAATCATCATCTTCTGTAACATATATTGGTCGTTCTTAACTGACGTGCGTCCTCTTTTTATTGCGATCGTTTCCCGATTTCATCTTGAGCCTTGCTCCCACTCGCAACCCCTAGATTGCGGAATTCAGGCTGCTCCGTCTCCCAACCCCCACCCCTGTTCGAGCTGTTTTGCTCCGACTTCTTTTACTTTCTTTCTCTAACCACTCTCTTCACTATGCTTTGTTTCTATGGTTACTCTCTTAGATTTACGCTGTTTCTCTGAGCACTCTCTTGGCTTTGCGCTGTTTCTCTAAGCACGCTCTCCGCTATGCTTTGTCTCTCTAACCACTCTCTCAACCTGCGTTTCAAAGCCGCCCTCTTCTTTCTATAGTCTTTTCTCTAGCTCTGCTTTTCTTTCCTACCCCTATCAACTTCTCTCCCCTACTCCTCATTTTCTTACTCTACTTCTCATTCCCTTTACCACTCCTTTTCTATATCCCCTCACTCCAACCGCTTCGCACCCGCTCCCCAATTGCCCATCCCCCATCGCCGCCACCCCACCGTCGGTCGCCCAAACCCCATGGAGGGGGGACTGGGGCATAACCACGCGCCGACCGGGGCTCCGCCATCCCTTCGCATGGGGGTGTGGGGCGAGTTCCCGTTCTTTTTTCACCCCAATTCGACGCTTGAAATTTGCTGAAATAATCTTATTTTTTCCTTAAAGGTTTAGGGTTTTATAAAATTGGGGGTGGTAGGGGTGGGGGAGGGGGTAAAATACGTTGGAAAAATGGTCGACCGAAACGTTTACTGTATTTACAACTAACTATTGACTAACATTACAAAAGCTTATAAAGCAATGACGATAATAGTTAAAGTGAAATTTTTGGTTAGTACTGTTGAGTAGTACTAAAATCTTAAGTATATTGTTGTTTACATGCTATAGTTTATCTTAAAAGTAACTATGTTTTATGTAAAAGCCCGTTTTTTAAGTTTTAAAATTTGCGCGCCGGACATGTTTCTTCGTATAACGTGACTCGCGCCTCGCGCAGGTCGCGCTTCTTACTTTTTTCTCATTTTGTTATTATTTTTCAAATTGATATACAAATTAAAGCTTCAGATGACAACAGAAAAGGTTGCGAACATAATCGACCACGTGATTGAGCAACAGCAAATCGGCCACATTGGTAACAATCAATTTGTGAAAATGGAGCATGAGCCGGATGAACAGGCTTCCACCTCCTTTAAACCTGACACTCCAACTCCGGAAATCCAGATAAATTCTTTGTTTCAACAGTCCTCGATCCCGCCTAACAATCAGCCAGGACAGACGGTGGTTGAAGGCGGACGGCCTATGAAACGGACTTATTTATTGATGAAGGTAAGGTCATGAGCAATATTGGGGGAATTGGGTCTCTAACAAACCATTTAAAGTTAGAATAGACCAAAAATGCCGTCTATTGTGAATGATAAGCCTTCCTTTTCCAGGAGTTCAACTCAGATGAAGAATGGCGAACGTTTTATGTGACCGAAATGGAACACTGGGCCAAGAAACGTGTGGCCAAACAATGCATCGAATATGAATGTCGTTTGAAACGAAAAGGCTGCAAAATGGCTTTGCGTTTAATCAACGGCCCAAATGGTCGTCCATCAAAGGCTTTGATTTCGGCTGGTGATCACGATCACACTACGATGAGGCCGAGCTTTTCCAGTGAGATACGCGCAGTTATTGATAGATGTATTGAGGAGAATTACAATGTAAAGCCGTTGATGGTTTGTGAAACTTTGAAGGTGAGGCTTTTTTAGAGTTATAGGTAGAGCAGGGTAGGTTAGGGTAAGGTAGGGTAGGATAGGGTAGGGTAGGGTAGGGTAGGGTAGTATAGGGTAGGGTAGGGTAGGGTAGGGCAAGGTAGGGTAGGGTAAGGTAGGATAAGATAAGGAAGGATAACGTAAGGCTAAGCAAGGTAACGTAATGTAATTTGTAAAAACGCAAAGATTTTCAGGACCAAGGCTATGGCACTGTAAGCAGAAAGCAAGTTCATCACTACCTCCAACGAATTCGAAAATGTGACGAAGAATCCTACAACATTAACGACAATGTAAGCTTGCCCACCCAACCGGTAGAACAATCCATCTCCGTGCTCAGCGCACGTCATCCAAAGTACGAAGAACCGGAAGAGAAGTACTCGAATGCGCCTGAAGATAGCCAACAACAACCTCATTACGAACCACAAAGCTCCTCTCTCCAACAACAACAACCTCCGCAACAGAACGGCCAAAGCTACACGATAGCACAACCTCAGCAGTACAATCGTGCTACTGTATTCTCATCACAAAATCAAATTATTTACTCGAGTCCGGCGGTTCAAGCCTTGATCAATGCTCTACCACAGCAACAAACCAATGTGCAGCAGCTTCAGCCTTCTCAACTACAACAAGTTATTCATAACCCGGTACTGTCGACACCGATTCTTGTACATGGTAATGGCATCGAGGAGCAACGGTACGTGTTGCAGACACAGCCGCCTATTGTGAATGATAAGAACTTTATGTGTATGACGGTTAGGGCGCAGAAGGTTGAAGTGGAAAGGTTACCGGATAATGTGCATATTTTGAAGATTTACCAGTAGATAAATGAAGATTAGTTTTTTAGGCTACTATACTTCTTTGTAGGCTAGTAAAGCTTTGGTAAAGATATTTACAGAGTGAGCAAAAAGTTCTGTTACACGGTTTTTTAATCAAATATTTATTTTAACAAAAACTATAACTAAAACAACAACTAACAATAGTAACATATAGTACTAGTACTAAAGAATAAGCTAAAGCCTAAAAAATTTTAAATAATTAAACCGCAACATAGGGAAAACGACCGGTAAAGTTTTGTAACAGAACTTTTTGCTCACCTTGTATAAAGCTTCTAATTTTTAAAAAGTTTTTAAAATGCTTTTGAAAAGTTATCAACAGTGAGATTTGCATTTTTATACATACTACATATTTTTTGAGCAAAAAAGTTGAGCGAAAAGGTTTTTTTATTTGCTTTACAGATTTTTAGGTATGCTTAAAGAGCCATATCTCTTTATAACACATTTTTTTTTAAATTTTGTTTTTTTTGTAAAATGTCTATTCTGATATTAATATTATCTATATTTTTTATTGTACATGTATATTTTAATGGAAACTCAAAAAACCTTGACGTTTTCAGTTGTCTTTGATTAAATAATCAAAAGGAACGGGTAAAACAAATGTAATAAAGTTATATTCAAATGTATTTTAGGTTTTTTGTTTGACATAAAGGCAAGGCAAAGCGTTTCATACCTGAAAAATGTTTCAATTTGAAGTAGTATTGATATTAAAAACAATATAATATTTAGAATTTAATTCAATAACTTAAATAATTTATTAGAAATAAGAGAGGTGCTGATATATATATATATACATACCATACAAATTAGAACATACTAGAATAAGATATGGTACGGCGAGATAAGGTAATGTAATATAGAATAAGATAGGGTGAAGTAAAGTAGAATATAATATAGTAAAGTAGGATAGGGTACGGTAGGCCACAGTACGATAGAGTAGGCTACAGTATAGTATAGAAAAGTAAAGTACGGTAAGCAACAGTATGATAGAGGGTAGGATAGGATAGGATAGGATAGGATAGGATAGGGTAGGGTAGGGTAGAATAGGGTAGGGTAGGGTAGAATAGGGTAGGGTAGGGTAGGGTAGAGCAGGGTAGGGTAGGGTAGGGTAGGGTAGGGTAGGGTAGGGTAGGGAAGGGGTAGGGTAGGGTAGGGTAGGGTAGGGTAGGGTAGGGTAGGGTAGGGTAGGGTAGGGTAGGGTAGGGTAGGGTAGAGTAGGGTAGTGTAGGGTAGGGTAGGGTAGGTTAGGGTGGGGTAGGGTAGGGTAGGGTAGGGTAGGATAAGGTACGGTAGGGTAAAGTATTAAAACGTATAGACAGAGAAGGCTCAATTATGTCGAGGTAGAGTACTTCAAGGTAGGCCAAACTACTTTTCTAATATAATAAAATTTTCCGCTTGATAATATACATGACTTCATGGAAACTTTACATTTGAGTAGCTTATTTTGTGGTTCTTACATCTCCAGGCGTCCGAGTATGAGTTTTGTGAAAAAATTCCCATTCCCTAACTAGACGTTGTTGTTTTTGTACTTGAGCAGTTAACGGTAGTGCGTTTTCAGCGTTAGAACAGACAGTTGTAGCAGAAACTGTGACTGAACCTTTGCCAGAGTTCTTTGTTGGTATTATATCTTTGGGCGTAGGTATGGAAGGTATAACCCCTGTAGCGCATTTTAAGATTCTTAAGAAGCTTTGCTTGACCTAAAATATAATCTTTATTAGTTTATACTGAATTTCCCTACTCTATCGGGCCCTATCTGGCCTTATTCTAATCTAATTGACCTTATTCGACCTTCCTCGGCCTTATCTGATCTTACCCGGTCCAACTCGCCCTTATCTGGCTCTGCTGTCAATGTTCGGCCATATTCAGCCTTACTTGCACTTACTTGACTTTACACGGTCTTACTTTGTGCTACTTAGCCCTATTTGTCTCATACCCGGCTCTAAGCGGCCGTACTCTGCCTCACTCGGCCCTACCTGGCCTTAACCGGCCTTACCAAACTTATTTGACTCTATTTTGCTTTATCCATCCCTATCCGACCCTACCTGACATTATCTGGCCCTACCGTCCCTATGCGGCCATATTCAGCCCTACGCGGCTTTAAACGGTTTTATCCAGCCATATCCGGCTCTATTTAACCCTACGCTTCCCTATCTTGTCCTACCGCCCCTACCAACCCTACGTGACCTTACCTGGCCCTACCCGTTCCTAACTATCCCTACCCGGCCTTACCATTACCTACACTCACCATCCCTACTCACCGTATTTGACCCGCTTACCTGAGTCTCCAGACACAAACTAAGTACCGAGTCGATGATGATCCGTGTCAATAATGACATTTCTACCCATGAACACAACATGAACAAAAAGTTGTAGTGTCTGTGGTAGAAGCACTTATCCTTGATCACCAGCACTAGTGCTACTAAAAAGTAGGGGAAATCGAAAACAGAAAAAGTTAGGATATGTAATGCCAGTTTTATCATTGGATACTTAAATCGTCGTTGAACTGCGTCGTGATTAGCTTTGTTGCTTTGATGAAAGGATTCGGAATGCTTTTTGGCTCGTTGAATTAGTACGACTAAATTAAACTTCAATTTTTTATGTCAGTAAGAAAAGATAATCACTATAACAGTATACTAATAGCAATTATCCTATTGCATTGAACATAACTTACCAGTAAAAGCAAAACATAGCAAAGTGAACAAATATACGGCAATTACCAATATATGACGATACAAATACAGCGGGTATAGACACGACTCTGTTGTACATTCTGTATATTTTTGTACTGATGGAACTGTCGTAACAATTAGTCCAATTATAGTGTGCACTATACTCATAAAGAATAAAATCCAGCTGAAAATTCAAAGTTTATTTTGTTTGTTTATATATTAAAAAATGAGTCAGTAGGGCTAAGATAAACATGATGTACTAAGATACAAATTATGGTAGGACAGTGTACAGTCTTGTACAGTACAGTAAGGTACAGAACAATAAGATAGAGCATAGTAAAGTAAAACAGAATAAGATAGAATATGCTAGAGTAAGAAAAGGTAGGCTAGAGCCAAGGCAAGGCAAGGCAAGGCAAGGCAAGGCAAGGCAAGCCAAGGCGTTTCCTACCTGAAAACACAAAATTGTTTACACCGCTTCATAGTAATGTATCGTCTGTATTGTAAAGGTTTTGCAACGGCATACAATTTTATTATGCTTTGCGCTGTATATGAGCACATGCTTGACCAAAACGATGCTATGAAAAAGGTGTTCAATAGCAGAACTATCCGCACGCTGAAATAAAAGTTCAAAACTTGTTGACATAGATGAGAAACTAAATATTTATTAAAAAAAAACTACTTTTTACACTCACTCATATTCGAACCACATGCTGTATAATACGGCCACATTATGGGCCATGCAAGCCAACAAATCTCCAAAAGCTCGGTTTAATAGCAGTGAATAAAACTTGCGACTGACACGGTGTTCTAGCATAGCCAACCTGACACTCACAATGTATAACACAACAGCCACAGTTGCAAAAACTGTGACCGGTATAGCATATAAACCATGATAGTAGTATAAAATATGCTGCGATACTGCACTGTCTATTTCCTAAAAGAAAAAAATTGTAATTACTATCGTACCATACCGTACAGTGCCGTACCGTACCGTACCGTACCCTACCGTACCCTACCGTACCCTACCGTACCCTACCCTACTTTATCCTATCATACTGGACTTGTCCTTATCATACTGCACTTTTACCCTATCATACTGTACTTTACTTTATTATACTGTACTTTACTTTATCATACTGTACTTTACCTTATCATACTGTACTTGCCACTATTATACTGTACTTTACCCTGTCATACTGTATTTTGTCTTATTATAATGTACACTATCTTAGAAAGATATACTTACTTACATAGTTGTTTTGCCATGTATAATTCTTAAAGCAGTTTGTATACAATGATAAGTCTTTATTCGTGTTTGAAATTGACATTGCACTTGTTCTATTATAATGATAATACATCCATATATATTATAAATGATACCTAAAACATATTTTTTAAAAAGTGTCAAAAGTAGTTTAAAAAATCATTGTGTACAAACTAGCAACGACAAATAACACAGTTACAACACATTAAAAAAGTTATCCTTCAGGTTGTGACTGTCTAACCAAGTTTTATGCAAAAACAACAACAAACGTCTTGTCGGTCTTATATTATTACTCTATCGAATGGGTTCCTTACCTACGTGCTTGAATTGTTGTTTTGTTCGTTTAGCTCAGAAAGAAAGAAGATGACAAATAAGTCCCTACCTTACTAAAGAATTACACAAATTATCTTTTGGCTTTTGGTATGTTTCCCCATATAATTTCACGACACTTAAAACAAAATTGCAGAACATTTTAAAAAATTTTATGCCCGGGTTTACTTTTAAAGCCACCCCTTTTCAAATTTTATCTTTATCTCTTGTGCATTTTTAGAAATTTTTTTTTGCGACACGTTCCTCGCTCCCCAGACCAAAAGTGCTCGCCTGACCTTGACGGTAGGCACAATACTCTTAAAATGCTTTACTATACAGTGGAACATCTGTATAACAAACCGCTAGGGGAATTGAAATTTGTATCTGGCACCTTATACGAAGGTTCCACTATAACTTTGAATTTTTAAATATGCTATCTTATAATATTAATTTTTTACAAAAAGAAAGTAAAAGCAAAAGCTGACCAAAATATATTTTTTTAATTAAAATGTTTTTTGGCTTGCCACAACATCTTGTCATAATGACAAAATGCAAAGATGAAATTGGCAGAATTGAAACTTACCGCTTTCTGCACGCAACTCTAACCTATTGAACTCTCGGCTTTTTAAGGTCTTCTCTACCCTAGACATGGGAAACGGGCCAGGCTTGCTTGCGGCTAAAAAAAAGTTAGGCTGGGCCAAGCTTGAGCAAAATATCGGTCCTGGCCCAACCTTTAGGTCCGGCCTGTTCCTTATGTCTAGTCCACCTTCCCCCTCTCCCCCACCCCCCACTTTTCCGTCTTATTTCACGTATTATCACCCCAGTCTCTTTTTTTTCTTCTTAATTCACCATTAAGCAGAGCTAAGACCCACAGTAACGTTTGTTTACTAATATGTTTACATTTTAAAATACCCAAATCGTGGGCAATTTAAAGTCTGATAGTAAAACAATTAAAAATAGTTTTAAAACAATAAGTTCAAAACAAAAAAACATTAATCATCTATCACCAACTCATAAATTCAAAAAACATTTAATAACCGTTATAAAATGAGGTTCATGATCAACCGAGATCAATCGTCAGTGAAAATGCGTTCATGATAACTTCATGATAAAATACAAGGTTTTAAAGAAGCGGAACAATAATCGACGTATAGTAGACAAGGTGGATTGATAACATTATCACGGGTTTATAAACAGATTAACGTTGAAACATTATCGCAAGACATTCTGTACAAATGTTCAAAAAACCAAGTAACAAATATTGTATTGGGTGCCGACATAAAGAACCAGCCATTTTTTACAAGAAAAGTATGGCGGGTTCTTTATGTCGGTGCCTAATTGACACTTGATTTCGATAAAGTTATTATGGCAAAATAAATAGTCAGTGAAAATTTGAAAAAGATAGATATAGCCTGCTTCATATGTTGTTATGAAGGTAGAGGAAGGGGGTAGTAGAGGTGAAGAGGTAGGGGAGGGGGGATGGGGAAAGGAGGGAAGAGCGAAGAGGAAAGGGAAGGACAAAGGAGAAAGAAAAGAGAAGGAGAGAGGAGGAAAGGGGGGGGGGTAGAAAGAGAGGGGTAGTTTTGAAGAGGGGGGGGAGGAAATTCGGATTGGTTTTATAAAGGGGTGGGGAAGAAAATAAGAAAACAATTTTTTTGCTTAGTTTTTGCAATTTTTCTAATTTTTTTTAAATTTTTTTACAAAATAAAGAGAAGGAAGAAGAGAGGGGGGGGGGGAGTTCTATCAAAAAAATGTCTTTTTTCGGCTCCCCCTCCCTTCTCCTCCTTCTATCTAGTCTTCTGTTACAGTTACATCGTCTCTCCCCCTCCTTTCCTCTTCCTCCCCCCCCTCTTCAAAGATATTCCCTTCTCCTTTTTCTACCCGAAATTTACCCCCTCCATCATTCCACTAACACTCCTCAGAAGACAAGACCAATACTTAACTGGCTACAAGATAACACAAATCATAGTAGTAACAAGGCTATAACATGATTAAAATACAAATGTACGCCATGTGCGTTAGTTTTGTAATAGACTACTCAGTAGGCATACTAATCGGGCCGGCCAATTTTTTATCCCGGCTCGGGGATAAAAAATTGGTTTATTAGGATAAGCTAGAACTTTAGGCTCATCCTGGTCTACCTAAATTCTGCTCGAGTCCGGCCTGATTACCAGGGCTGCTAGTCAGTCATAGAAAGCACTACCCAAACTCAAAACTATCGCACACAACCTATATAAATAGTTCAAACTAAATGCAGACTACCGTGACGTTCAAGATAACACAACTAAACAAGTCTATTCCGGTATGACTTCAATCACCTGCTTCGCATCCTTAATGTCCCCAGGCTCTTTAAGATGAGTCTTGTGTAGCAGTCCACGTTCACTAACAGAACGTTGTTGTTTCTTCTCTTCCGCCGTTAACGGCCGAACGTTGTCAGCATTGGAATAGTCGCTAGAATCACATGCTGATACTGTACCAGTACCAGAGTTGATTGTCGTCATTCGATTCGTTGATAATGAGGCTGACGGCACGACTCTTTTGACGCAGCCAAAGATCTTTAGTAGACTTCTCTTGACCTGAAAACAAAAATTTATGTTTTGTGTTGCAGTATCTATCTAATTGTACTTTCTTTTGATTTTACTGTATGTTTTATCATTATCAGTTGTCTAACTTAGACTTTGAACCTAATGTTTCCTAACACTATAAGGAAGGTGGGACGGGGGGGGAGGGGGGGGGGAGAAAGGAGGAAAGGGGGGGGGGGGGGGAGGAGATGGAAAAGACGGAAAAAAGCGTAGGTGGCAGAGACGGTAGTGACAAGCCAAAAAAAGCAAATACTTCGTAATCCTCTTCCTCGTTTTTTCATTTCGACCAAAATACACCGCCCATCAATAATCAACACCTCAGCCACTTACCCCCTTCCACACTTTACCATATTCTACTTTATAGCCTACCGTACCCCATTATCATTCCTACCTAATCGTATCTATTCCCCCGTCTCACTTTTTTAAACTCCCCCCCCACTTTTATATATATCCTACCCATCCCCACTTACCTCCGTCTCGAAGCACAAACTCAGCAACGAGTCAACGATGATCCGAACACACAACGACATCCGAACCCATGAGCTAAACATGTTCATGGTGTTGTAGTGCTTCGGGTAAAAACAACCATCCTCCACCACTAATAGTAATGCCCAACAAAAGTAAGGAAAGTTAAAGACGGTGAAGGTCAAGATATGTATAGCCAACTTTAACATCGGGTATTTAAAACGTCGTTTCACGGCATCACGGTTCTTGTTGTTGGATTGATGGAACGATTCTGAATGCTTCTTGGCTCGACGAATTAGCAAAACTAAAATTTTTAAGTTAGTGGTGTACTGTAGATATTGCATCATACTGTATTTTTAATACCCTACCCTACCCTAACGTACCCTACCCTACCCTACCCTACCCTACCCTACTTTTTTTAAGAACTTACCAGTAAAGCCAAAAGTCGCCAAAGTAAACAAATACACAACAACAACCAGTATGTTACGACCGGAGTACATTGGATGTAAGCATGATTCTGATGTGCAATCAGTCAGTTTCCTTAGGGAAGGCACTGTTGTAATAACTACTACGGTTGAAGTATATATGATACACGTAAAGAACAAGATCCAACTGAAACAATATGTTTTTAAAAGTGTTATCTATATGATGCAGTACATACTGTAACAGAAAAAAATTTAAAAATTAAAAAAAATTTTGAAAATTTCAAAATTAAAAATATTATAAATTACGTACCTTAATACACAAAATTGTTTACATCGTTTCATAGTGATGTATCGTCGATATTGTAGTGGTTTTGCCACTCCGTACAGTTTAATAATACTTTGTCCAGTATAAGAACACATGCTTGACCAAAACGAGGCTATGAACAAAGTGTTCAATATTTGAAGAATACCAGGGCTAAAAATTAAATCTTACACATCTTACATTAAAAAAGTACTGCAGAGCAGAGTCAGGTAAAGTAAGGCAAGGTATAGTAAAGTATGTTAGAGTAGGGTAGGGTAGGGTAAGGTAGGGTAGGGTAGGGTAGGGTAGGGTAGGGTAGGGTAGGGTAGGGTAGGGTAGGGTAGGGTAGGGTAGGGTAGGGTAGGGTAGGGTAGGGTAAAGTAAGGTAGGGTAGGGTAGGGTAGGGCAGAATACGGTACAGTAGAATATGTCTTTACTTACTTGTGTTCGAAGCACAGAGCGTACAATATGGCCACGGTGTTCGCTATGCATGCTACAAAGTCACCGAAAGCACGATTCAATAGCAATGAATAAAATTTTCGACTAACACGATGTTCGTCCATTGCCCGCTTCACACACAAGATGTACAGTACAACGCCTATGATTGCAACTACTGTGAACGGTATGGGGTAGATTCCATGATGCCAGTACAATACACGCTCCCATATTGCGCCGTCAATCTCCTGAAGGCATTAAATGGAATATAACATGACTAACATATTATACTATTTGAAGCAACCTGTAGGGTGAAGTAGAGAAGGGTAGAGAAGGGTAGAGTAAGTTAGGGTAAGATAAAGTAAGAGAAGCCAGAATAAAGTAAAGTAAGAGAAAGAAAAGTTTGGTAAATCAAAAAAACATACCGTAGCCATAGACTGGCGCTCCTCCAACGTCGCATTTTGAAAGCACTTGGTATATCGGATGGGACTCTTGTTCACATTTAAAGGCGCCACCATGAATTGGCTGTAAATTTAATTTTAGTACAACTGTGTATATAACATACTAAATGTGAACCACGGAAAATAGAAAAAATACAGTAATGTGCGGAATGCCAAATTTAAAGCAAAAGTAACAACGTTATGCAACAAAGAAAAATCAGGCTACATCAATGCTATATGAAAGTCAAGATAAACCTAAGATGGATAAAAATATAATAACTTGATGGAAATGTGGAAAAGCCAAACCAAGCCTTTATCCAGGCTCACAAGCCCAAGCGTGCGTGTCCAGAATTAATTTTTTTTTGGCTCGGCTAAAAGTCAATCCAGTCCTTGAGGGCAGAAATGAACAACGGGCCAAGTTCGAGAAAAATGAGCTAGGCCAAAGTTTTAATCAAGTCATTCCGGGCCAAGAAAAAATTGTAACGTGTCAAACCAAGTTGCCAAGCCCAATTCCGCAGGCCGGTTTTGAAAATTCCGGCTTGTTTCGTAGTTTACGTCTACTAGTGGATCCTCTTTCAAGTCTGTAAGCTGAAGGAAAAACTTGAGGCTAAAGAAGGTATAAGATAAAACTAAGAAAATGCTAAAAATACCACTGAGTAAGAGCTACATAGAACAGAGCTAGTGTAGGGTTACTTTAAAAATAACAGTTGTTTTCTTTTGACCAGCGCTCAACCTTCAACTTTTTTGTTTTTCAAACAAAATGAAATTTAGCTAGGGTCAAATTCCCCCTACCCTTACGGGATCAAAAAAGTGCCTGCCCAACCCAGGTTAACATTATAAACCAAAATGTAGAACACTTCTTCATCAAAGGTGACAACAACACTATGACTTGTTACAGCAACGGTTGATTCCAAATTGGTTTCAAGTTAAGGAAATAAGCTTTGCTTCCTTACAAACAAAAGGGCAAATTAAACTGTTAGTCTGTTTACGTGCTGCAATCAGAAGCCGCAAATTTTGAGTAAATTGCAGATTGGAAGATTTGCATTGGGCATGGCAAAAATTATTTTCAAAATTTTTAAGAAAAAGAAGTGGAATGGAAAGAACGAAAGGAGGATAGCGGAGCTAGGTGGACGAAAAAGGGAGTGAGAAAACAGTAGATGAGCAAAATAAAAAAACTTTCTTTACAGTACACTCGCTAGCCAGAATTCTGTTTTAAAAACTCAATAAATAGCAAGAACTTTCTTTACAAAGCATGAAATGGCAAGAACTTTCTTTACAAAGCATGAAATGGCAAGAACTTTCTTTATAAAACAAAAAATGGCAAGAACTTTCTTTACAAAACAACAATTGGCAAGAACTTTCTTTACAAAACACAAAATAGCAAAAACTTTCTTTACAACGTAAAACATGTCAACACCAAAGATGACATAATTTACTACACATTTCTTAATAAAAACGTCACTAGTTTTAAAATGTAGCCTGTGAAAACAACAACAACGTCTTCTGATTTTATTACATCGTCAAAAGTGTCTTTTTGCTTACTAAGTTGTTCTTGTGACGTAATATCACAGAAATCATCTTACTACAGTTTAAAACGATATGATGCAGTTTGTAGTTTACGTCGGCGATTATTGACTGCACACTTTTGTAATTATGATAATATTAGAACTAGGTTTGAAAAAGCGGCCCAGGCCCGCCCAGCTCATTTTAGCCCAGATCAGCTCAGCTCAGCATATCCCAGCCCTATATCCCAACTCAGCCAAACGCAGCCAAAGCCCAGCCAAATCTTAGCCAAAGCCCGGCTAAAGCCCAGCCTAGAGCCCTAAGCCAGAGCCTTAGGTCAGAGCCTTAAGCCAGAGCCCTAAGCCAGAGCCCTAAGCCAGGGCCCTAGCTCCGAGACTTAGCCTAGAGCCCTAGCCTAGAACCCTGGCCTAGAACCCTAGATTAGAACTCTAGCTCAGTCAGTTCAGCCCAACTCAGCCTAGGCCAGCTTAGCCCAACCCAGTGCAGCCCAGTCCAGCCAGCCCGGCCCAGCCCAGTACTGCCCATCCCAGCTAAGTCCAGTTAAGCCCAGCTCAACCCAGATTAGACCATCCTTGGTGTCGGGCTGCGTTGGGTCAAGCCAAAACGTATGGGCCCAAAAACTGTAGCCCAGTCTCGTATCTACTATCTGTAACATGAATTAAAATTTATCAAAGTTTTAACAAAAAGGAGTTGAAAATGAGTGGTCATTTACCAGAAGAACCGCATCTTTTCGTCAAAAAAAACAAAAAAAAAACATTTACTGCGCACGACGATAAGCAAACTGAAACCAGAAGATGCGCGACAAACGGAAACAGCAAAAAACTGCGGTATATTCCATGGTAATCTGTTAATTTTGATGCTATTATATATTGTGAGCTATGAGTCAGTAGACCAACTGAACAAAAAACGTAGCTAATCTTTCTGTACCCTACCCTACCCTACCCTACCCTACCCTAACCTACCTTACCCTAGCTAGCTGCAGAACTAAAATGACCAACCGCCATCAACAAAAGTTTAACGTCATATTGCCGAGTTTGAGAAACAACCCGAACACAGCAAGTAGACCTTTCATGAATTGTTTTGTTGATCAATCTAACGAATAGTTAGTGGGAAATAAAAGATCTCTGATTTACACATTTGCTTGCCATTTAGGCTAAGGTTGGGGCTGGTACTGAGACTAGAGCAGGGAATTGAGCTAAGGCTGGGGCTGGAACTGGGACTGGGACTGCAGCAGGGAATTGAGCTAAGGCTGGAGCTGAGGCTGGGACTAGAGCAGAGAATTGAGATGAGGCTGAGGCTGGGACTAGAGCAGAAAATAAAGCTGACGCTGATATGGGGACTAACCTAGGTGTAAAGCTGAGGCAGAAGCTGGGGCTGAGGCTAAGGCTGGGGCTGGGGCTGGGGCTGGGGCTGGGGCTGGGGCTGGGGTTGGGGCTGGGGCTGGGGCTGGGGCTGGGCCTGAGACTGAGACTGAGGCTGAGGCTGAGGCTGAGGCTGAGGCTGAGGCTGAGGCTGAGGCTGAGGCTGAGGCTGAGGCTGAGGCTGAGGCTGAAGCTGAGGCTGAGGCTGAGGCTGAAGCTGAGGCTGAGGCTGAACCTAAAGGGCTGAAGGTAGTGCTGAAGGTAAGATCAAAGTAGAGGCTGAAGTTGGTGCTGATAGTGAGGTTGAAGGTGAGGCTGAGGTCCTCGGCTAAGGCTTAAATTTTAGGCTAGAGTTTTGAGCCCTGGGCTAAGGCTCTGGGATTAGAACTTTAAGGCTGGGGCTAGAGCTACGGCTCTAGGCTTTGAGGCTAGTGCTCGAATCAAGCTTAGTGGCTAGGGCTTTAGGACTAGGCCGCTGTGCTGGGGCTGGGCTAAAGCTCTGGACTAGGTCTCTGGGCTTGGGCTTTGGGACTAGGGCTTTAGGGCTAGGGCTTTGGGGCTAGGGCTTTTAAACTAGGGCTTTGGGTTAAGGTTTTGGGCTAGGGCTCTGTACTAGGGCTCTGGGCTAGGACTCTAGGCTAGGGCTAAAACTTTGGAGTTAGGGCGTTGGGACTTGAGTTTTGGGTCTAGGGCCACGGGTTCAAGGCCTGGGGCTAGGCTTATGGGTTAGGGCCCTGTGGCTACAAAACTACACAAGTTGACAAAATTATACTGCAAAAGCGCGTTACCACTTGTTTCTTACCCAAATAATTAAAGTTCAAATCAGCAATCGATTTGCAAACCCAAAAAAAAAACAAAACATTGTGGGGTTTCACAACCGCCGTTCCCGAAAAAGACGAGTCTTCACAAACGACCTTGGTCGACGAAGATGGAAGCGCAAATCTTTTTACAAACTAATAAAAATCACTTGGAATTGTGACTACAATATGAACACGGCATTCCGTGAACACGTCGAACACATGTTGTCAACAAATTACCGTACCCAACATAGGTTTTAGGCGTTCGAATTAAATTTATACGCTTTTTTGTATGTTTTGGATCATTAAGAGTTTGCAGGCTTAAAACAAAACGTTAAAACTAAGCTAAAGCTTACTGTTATACAAGTTATTTACACGTATTAAACCTAGACTTACAAGGTATCAAACTGCTAAGCCTAAGCCTACTAAGCTTAAGCCTACTAAGCCTAAGCCCACTAAGCCTAAGCCTACTGATCCTGAACCCACTCAGCCTAATCTTACTAAGCCTAAGCCTACTAAGCCTAAGCCTACTAAGCCTAAGCCTACTAAGTCTAAGCCTACTAAGCCTAAGCCTACTGATCCTGAACCCACACAGCCTAATCTTACTAAGCCTAAGCCTACTAAACCTACGCCCACTAAGCCTAAGCCTACTAAGCCTAAGCCTCCTAAGCCTACTAAGCCTAAGCCTACTAAGCCTAATACTACTAAGCTTAAGCCTACTAAGTCTGAACCCACTCAGCCTAAGCTTACTAAGCCTAAGCCTACTAAGCCTAAGCCTACCAAGCCTAAGTTTTCTAAAACTAAGTCCTCTAGGACAAAGCCTACTAAGCCTGAACCCACTCAGCCTAAGCTTACTAAGCCTAAGCTTGCTTGGCCTAAGCCTAAGCGTACTAAGCCTAAGCTTACTAAACCTAAAGTTACTACTTAAGCCGGTTTAGCCTCAGCCAACTAAATCTTGTAAGTCTAAGTCTGCAAAAGCTATTGCCTGGCCAAAAATTACGATACCCATCTTTACCAAGCTTACGTTTAACCCTCAACTATTAAACAACCTTCAAAATACGCCTAACAAAATTTAAGTTACAAGTTCTAAAAAAATGAAACAACTATAAAACAACAAATTCCAACAAGAAAATAGCCAAACAACTCAAAAGTCAGTTTATTTCAACATTCAATCTATTCCGTAGTCTTCTTCTTCCATCCACCGACCAGAGTAGCCGCATCCTTCTTCTGAAAATACACGATTTAAAAAGTCTTGTCGTCAATATACACTGTTTTTCATAACCAAAAACGACAACATTTTTTTTTGATTTTAAAAATATTTTTTCCAAAAAAAGTTTTAAAATTATAAAAATGATGTTCAAAACCTACCTTGATGTCACTGACAACATTGTTTTCCAATGGCGTTCCTCCAGGTTGAATCACCACAACTGTCGGCACTTCTTTCAGCTGATAACGTTGGAAGAGGCCGCTAAAAATGATAAAGTTAGAAAATGTAAAAATTTTTTTTTGAATTTAAACCCAATGTGCTTTTTAGTATAACACCCTAACAAATTTTTTTGAAATCTGATTAATTTTCATTTTGAAAATATAAAAAAAAATTTTTGAAAAAGTTAAACTTGGTCCCCCTGTGGATTTTTTCGCCATTTTTAAAAAATAAAAAATTTTTTTAAATTAAGAAAAGGTGTTCACTTTGTAAGTTATAAGAAGTTGTACTAAAACCCAAAATTTGAAAAACATAAGTCACTTTTAAAAAAAGTTACAGTAATACAGAACCCCAAAAACCCCCATCCCCACTTACTTGCACTTCGGATCCCCATACTTGGTGTACAACCACGGCGGGCAATCGGCCAAGAACTGTTGTTGCTCATCCTCACTGACATCGTGTGAAATGTAGACCACTTCTAATCCCAGCGGTTTGCCAACATTGTACATGGCCTTAAGTTTGTCGATGAGTTCAGGATCGATGGCTTTGGCGCCAAAATAAAGAAGCACCACCTTGGCTTTGAGCTCAGTGGCGGCGCTGACCTTGTTGGGGTTGCCTTTGCGGAAGAGCTGGAAGTCGGCTAGAAGTTTGGACATAATGCGACCGGCTGTCGAGGCGGCGGAAAGAAAGAATGAACAATTTTTTTGAAGAAAAACGTGAATTTTTGTTAAAATTAAAAATTTTTTTTAAAAATTAAAAAAAAAATTTTTTTTGCAAGAATTGTACGTTTGGTTTATAGTTTGTGGTGGAACGTTGAGAAAAAGTGAGACCATTGTATTCAATGATATCAATTAGTCATTGAGAGATTTTAAAGACGAAGGTTTTTAAATTATTAAATCTTCTCTTGCGTCTTGGACGGCTTGATCGTTCTTTAAAGGTCTTGTGATCAAATGCTAATTTACAGTTTTTGTTCTGTTGGATTTTTATTTTTTTGCTTTTAGCCTTAGCTTGGGTCTTATCCTCAGCGTGAGGTTTATTATTGTGCTTAAGCGTGAGCCTGAGCCTGGAGTTAAGCTTGAGCCTGAGGTTGAGCCTAAGCCTGAGCCTAATCTTGAGTTTGAACCTAAGCCTAAGTCTGAGTCTTAGACTAAGCTTGAGCTTGAGCGTAAGCCCGCTTTACCACACGATTTCTTAAAAAATTTCAACGCTATTACCTAATATTGATTCTATAACAATATAGCCTTAGAGAAATTGCAAGAAATGGTGTTACGCAACTTTTTCTTATGTAATGTTGAATTTTTTATAATGTTTGCCTCGGTGTAAAACGACCCAACAAATGACTGCGAGTGCTGGGAGTTTACTTTGTTTTTCTTTGAGGTATCCTTGTTTTAAAACGTCATTCTCCTGAATTTGAGCTTGAGTTTAAACTTGAGTTTAAGTTTAAGCCTGAGCCTGAGCCTGAGCTTGAGCCTGAGCCTGAGCCTGAGCCTGGGCCTGAGCTTGAGCCTGAGCCTGAGCCTGAGCTTGAGCCTGAGCCTGAGCTTGACCCTAAGCCTGAGCCTGAGCCTGAGCCTGAGCCTGAGCCTGAGCTTGAGCCTGAGCCTGAGCCTGAGCTTTAGTCTGAGCCTAAGTTTAAGCCTGGGCCTGAGCTTTCACTTTAAATTAAGCCTGATCCTAACCCTAAGTTTTATCCTTAACCTTAGAATTATCCTTAGCATATTATATTAATAGTCCTACCTTGTAAAGTCTACACTAGCTTTTGTTTTGCTTTAGCCCTACCCTACGCTTGCTTTGACCTTATTTTCTTTGCACTCTATGTAGGCGTGTTCTAGCCAAACCAATGCTTTACCGTAGTTTAAGTCTATTATTTAACCCACCCTAATAGTAGCCTTAACTAGCCTTGCATTACCCAATGCTTTAACCTTTTTAATTTTTTATATATTTTTTATTCCCTTTCGCCCATGCCCGCTCAAGAATCTTTTTTTTACAAAAATTCTGTAAACAATTTTCGAACGCGGTTTTCGAGATAAGAATATATGAAATTCGGACTGTTTCAGACGTTTCCAGCTTGTTTTTACTCTATTTGAACAACTTAAAACATTCGCCGGAAGCACTTGCACCCGCTACAAACGCTACTGTTTATCTACTACGGCGCGGTATATAAAGCACAGTGATTTGTGTTTGTTTTTCGAAATATTGTTTCTACAGTAACAAAAGTTTGTAGTAGGTTAGCGGAAATCCGATTCTACTTTTGTTTTTGATCATTGGATGTATACTGGCTGCTTTAAGCTACAGTAAAAATTTGTAATAAGTTGGTAAAGTATTATACATTGTGTTCTACCTTACACTGTTAATACAGTATCTTAATAAATTATTGGATTACAGTAGCTTAATACACTACAATCATTACAGTGTACTATAGAAGTTTTCATGAAGTTGTGACAACTTATAATTGATTATAAAAATGTTATTTCTACTACAAAGGATACCTATAATAAGCTTAGGTACTGTATATTTGTTACTATTGTTGGTGCCCATAAATTGTCAAAAACTTCAAAATCTTAAACCAGGTAATTCAAATTTAGGTTATTGTTTCTGTATTTCTTATTGAAATCCTTTTTAGCAAAAACCCTACATTAGCCTTACTCTTGTTCTACCCTAGCCTTGTCCTAGCTCTACTTTAGCGCTATCTTAGCCTTAACTTGAACCTACCTTTGCCCTACCTTAGCCCTACCCCAACCTAGCCAGCCATAACTTAGTCTAGCCTACTTTAACTAAGCCTACTCTAAATTAGCATACCCTAACCTAACCGTACCCAAGCTCAACTTTAGCCCTATCCTAACCCTACCCCTACTAGGCTCTAGCCTTATTTTAAACCCGTGTTAGCCGTAGAGTAGTCTTTCCTATAGCCCTAATTCAATATTATCTGAAGCTCAATTTAGAAGTACTGTAGCTCCAGTCAAGTCTTATCATAGCTCTACCTCAACTCTACCTTAGCCTTGCTTTTAGCTTGCCTTAACTTTACTCTAGCTTTACCATAGAGTAAAATCCTATCTTTGCTTCACTCTCGCCTTTTCCTGGCTTTACTCTAGCCCTACATTTGTATTGCCAGAGTTAAAGTTAGCCCTTTTTCTTTTTTTAAAAAGTCAAAACCAATCTATTTCTTATCTTACTACGCTGCCATTAATGATATCAATACCTTTTCCAGAAATCGAAATAAAAGACGACCAGAACCGAAAAGGCTACACCCTAAACGCTGGTCATCTAGACCTTCTGTACAAACGAACAGCCATCACCGCCCTATTAAAAGCCCGCGCCAAGCAAGAGCTGCAACATTTGCCAAACACAGAAGCAGTCATCTACAAACAATGCGAAAATGCAGCTGCCACTCCAGTGCAGCTAGCGCAATGCGTTCGAAAGTTGATTCGAGATGGCAGTAGGACCAAATACAGTGAAAAATCGACCGAAAATTGGCTTCAACAAGCAATTTTGAATACTGAAACACTTTTTCCTAATCAAGATGAAAAGGCTAAAAGACATGCCAAACCAGTGTTTTCTAGGCCAGTCAGTGCAGCCAAGGCACGACATGTTAATCAGCATAGGTTGAGGATCAAGTATCGTGGAGCAAAGAACTTGAAGTATAATGGTGATGAAGCTGATTTGAAAGCTAAACCGTTCAGACATAAACGGGCTATTCAGGCTAGACCGGTATTTAAGGGTGAGAAAAACTGTTTAAAAATTTTAAAAAATTTAAAAAAAATTTTTTTTTTAAATTTTGAAATTTTCAGCCTCCACATCACCACGATGTAAAACACCAGACAACATCTTAAACTTACGAAAAGTTGAAAAGTACTTTGACCTTGGAAACTACTGTATGAAGTACTTGAAAGATATTGGAGCTATGAACTCAGAGTAAGTTTTTAATACCCTACCCTACCCTACCCTACCCAACCCTACCCTACCCTACCCTACCCTACCCAACCCTACCCTACCCTACCCTACCCTACCCTACCCTACCCTACCCTACCCTACCCTACCCTACCCTAGCTTTACCTTTTTTTTCAGATTCTTAGACAACTTCATGCCAGTATCCTTCCGTGAGCACAGTGACGCAAAAAACACTCCAATTGGTCAATTACGGTCGATAGTTCAAAAGCTAGACACACAAAGTGTTTCATTTTTATCTCCAAAAATTCTGAATATTATGCCACAACAAAATGACAATCCAGCCCAGACTAGAATAATGTCTCCAAATTTGCTCAGTTTTCACGACGAAGGACTGCTGCCATTGCCTAGGCTATTGAAGGTAAGTTAAGGAAGATTTTTGACATTTTTTGCTTTGTAAAGAAAGTTCTTGTCATTTTTTGTTTTGTAAAGAAAATGTTTGCCATTTTTTGTTTTGTAAAGAAAGTTCTTGCCGTTTTTTGCTTTGTAAAGAAAGTTCTTGTCATTTTTTGTTTTGTAAAGAAAATGTTTGCCATTTTTTGTTTTGTAAAGAAAGTTCTTGCCATTTTTTGTTTTATAAAGAAAGTTTTTGCCATTTTTTGTTTTGTAAAGAAAGTTCTTGCCATTTTTTGTTTTGTAAAGAAAGTTCTTGCCATTTTTTGTTTTGTAAAGAAAGTTCTTGCCATTTTTTGTTTTGTAAAAAAAGTTTTTGCCATTTTAGGTTTTGTAAAGAAAGTTCTTGCCGTTTTTTGCTTTGTAAAGAAAGTTCTTGCCATTTTTTTTGGTTTGTAAGGAAAGTTCTTGCCATTTTTTGGTTTATAAAGTCTTTTTTTCAATTTTTTAGAAATTAAAAGATTTGTCGTTAATTTGCATGTATTTTGACTGGAAAAAACGACAAGACTTTTTTAGTACTACATAATTAAAAAAAAATCATTTTAAAGGTTTAAATTAGGTAAAAAATGACCTTTTTTAAAACTTTTTTAATTTAAAAATTATTTTTTTTAATTCAATATAAAATCAAAATTTTAAAAATTTTTCATTTAAGCTTGGCAACTCTGATGAATGTGAAACCCAAGAATGGATCAACCTTCTGATGGACGTTAGTGGCGCCAGCAATAAGCTCAACGAATTGCTGGAAAAGTTCAACGATCATATGCAGCACGTCTCTACGGATCTTTTCCCCAAAATCAAAGAGTTGGAGAGGCAGGATAAACTATGGCATTTGATGAAAGAGTCCATCTCAGACGACCAAAAACGACACATTGAGAGGTTTGGCTATGCTAAGATGTCGGCAAAGCAGATGGAAATGGTTTATCGTGAAGATGGGTTGCATCCGCCTACAGAGTATTCAAAGGCGTTGTATAATCGTATGTTGGATGGGGAGGATACGCAGCTTATCGACCAGTTGGTTATGGAGATGAGCGAAATGCCGGCTTTTTCTGATCCGAGCTTCTTGAAAAAGAAGGAAAATAGTGTACAAGCGGACTCAGAAGGTCCACATCTACGTCAAAATGGCACTTTAAGCCAAAATGAAGCTAATCTCAAAAATGGTACTACTGGTACCGGTGGTACACTTGGTACTATTGGAAGTGGATTTGGTCAAAATAAAGCACCTTTTGCTGCAAAAAAGAGCTTTGGTAGTATCACTGGTACGACTGGTACCACTGGTACTGTTGGTACTCAAAACAAGACTAGTACTAATACTAGGCAAAATCTTCATGGCACTACAAGTAGACATCCAAGTTTGAATATTAGGCCACAAGATCAACATGGTGTTCTAAGAAACTTTACTGGTACGCATAGTACCTCACATGGTCTATACGGTAGAAATCAAAACCCAATTGGTACCATACGGGGCCAGCTTAGTACTAAGCAAAATTTAAGTAGTACTCTAACAAACCTGTACAATACAACACAAAAACCGTCTGATAATGCGCCAAATCCTTATTTACGACCGTCCAGACTAAGTCAAGTACCTCCAGGAGTAAGAAACCGACACCTTTTACCAAGTGTTCTACGTCAACCAGTACCACCTGGGGTACTTAATAGGTACAAAGCTATGCAAGAAGACAAAGAAAAAGATAATAAGAAAGAAAAAGTAGATAAGTATAAAAAAGAAAATGAACATAAAGAAGAAAAATATGAAATAGAAGAAGAACATAAAGAAATAAATGAACATAAAGAAGAATATAATGATGAAAAACAAAACAAAAATGAAAAATCAGCTGAAACCTGGAACTTCCCTGACGATGAAAACCCCCACCATGCCCACACCCGTACCAAACGACAAAGCGCAGCCGAAGCCGTAGGCCTAATGGCACCATACGCACTATCCAACCAAGTTGGTCTACCATCCTTCCTAGGCAATCTAATCCTCTCACCCCATGCCTTTATCAACGAGCTTTTCAATCCTCGATTCCTCGGCTCCGACATCATATCACCAAGAGCTTTTGTAGCTACTACCTTATCACCATTTGCCATGGTATCACGTGTACTGGCACCGGCCGCGTTTCGTGTTCAAACTTTGAGCCCTCAGGCGTTGACTGCTATTGTATTGACTCCTGAAGCTTTTATCGCTGCCATTTTGTCACCAAGAGCATTGGAGGTGAGAGTGCTGTCACCTGAGGTTATTACTGTTGGGGTGTTGAGTCCGAGTGAGTTTTTTGAAATTTTGTGGTACTATATAGTACTAGCTTAACATCAGCATTTTAATGTTAAAAATGGCATTTTAAAGCTTTGTATTAACTTGAAGTTTAAAAACTTTACTGTTGAATGAAATATATTACAGTAGACCTACTGCGCCCTTAGCAAAACAAAAAAATTTTTTTTTGAAAAACATTTTTAAATGCTTTTTGTAGAGTATAAAAAGTTACTGTATTTTCTAAATTTTTACGTTTTTACCTTACTTTTTGACCAAGTTATATAAACTTAAAAATGTTGAAATCTATCATTACGTCATACTGCAATGACACTCTTACACATGAATATTTAGAAATAACTCAAGACTACAAATTAAAACACAACTTTTGCAAAGTCATTTTGTAATTACTCTGTAATTTCATAATATTTACAACCGCATAACTACGTAGTTGTATCCAATTACATCGTTATATTATAGTATGTGAACATGTACTTTTAAACCTCATGTGAAAAACTTATTAAAAAGTGTCATAAATTTTCAGGTGCTGGCGTAGTTCGTGTTTTGTCACCAGCTGATTTCAGTTGTTTTGTACTTAGCCCCAACATTCTTGGCGCCAACTTTTTAAGTCATGCCACTATGAATATTGAGGTAGGTTGGGTAGAAAAGATAAGATAAAGCTCAGCGTAGAAGCTTAAGTCAGGGCAAGAGTTAGGGTGAGAGTAAAAGCTGAATAGACTAAAGTAAGGCAAGGAAAGTACAAAAGTAAAACAAACATTGTAACGTGCTTATGGTAAGGCTTTGGTAGAAAATTGATGGAGGCTAAGACGGTTAGAGAAGATCAAGAGTAGGAAAAGGGGAAAGCAACGATAGACCAAGAACAAAGCAAATCTAGGACAAAAGTATGGCTAGAAAAAAGCAAGAGTAGGATCAGAGTGTAGGCTTAAGTAAGAACTAGTGTAGATTAGTACAAGATACATAAAGCCAAAGCTTGGCAGAGACTAAAGTACAGACTAAAGACTAAGTGCTACGATAGGGCCAGAGTAAGACTTAGAATGAGAGTAGAGCTAGGGTACGGCTAGGGCAAGGCTAGGATACAAATAGAGTAAAGCTATTATTAGACTAGAGTAGGAGTGAAGTAGAGTTAGTATAGAGCTAAGGGGATACTAGGGTAAGTCAGAGTAGAACCAGTTGGCAAAAACTTGCAAAAATGCACTTTAGTGTTATATTGTGAAGCATCAACAATCACATAAAATGCCATTTCTAAGCTGTACTCAAGCCTCTGTTACCTTTATAACAACTAACTAAAAATAACAGTTTTATTTGCCTCACATACCTCAAAAAAGTTATTATTGGCCTTTTTTTATAATACCCCATTTCAGGTATTATCACCCACAATATTGGTGGCTGACGACGGTATTGGATAACAACATATATGACACTTTTTATATTATGTATGACACTTTTAATAGCACATATGACCTTTTTTATACAATGTTTGACTTAAATATTTATTAGAAAACGGGTTTTGACAAACTATGTGATTAGCTTTTTCTAGTATCTTATTAAAGATACTTAGGTATGTTTAGGTATTAATTACTGTGATTACGAAAGTACTATCATTATATTCTTAATGACTTTGACACAAATAAATACTTAAAAATAAATACGTTTTTTGTTTTGGCTGCTGACACATTTGGTACGGCAATTTTTGAACAAACAGAACAATTTTTACATTGTTTGTAATCTTGTTATACAGTGATATTACTATAGCTTTTAAAAATTAAAATAGGCTGAGGCAGGGAAAGATGAAGTAAAGCAAGATAAATTAGGACAAGGTAAAATAGAGCAAGTTGAGGTTGAAAACAAGTGTAGTAGAGTAAACTTAAGTAAAATAAAGTAGGGTAGGAGATGGTAAGGTAGAGAAAAGGATGGCAAAGCGCAGAAGTAGAAGGTAAGCTAGAGCAAGGTCAAGAAGGCCAAGGTGAAGTAGAGTACAGTGAACTATTATAGTAATGGCAGGGTAGGGTAGGGTAGGGTAGGGTAGGGCAGGGTAGGGTAGGGTAGGGTAGGGTAGGGTAGGGTAGGGTAGGGGTAGGGTAGGGTAGGGTAGGGTAGGGCAGGGTAGGGTAGGGTAGGGTAGGGTAGGGTAGGGTAGGGTAGGGCAGGGTAGGGTAGGGTAGGGTAGGGTAGGGTAGGGTAGGGTAGGGTAGGGCAGGGTAGGGTAGGGTAGGGTAGGGTAGGGTAGGGTAGGGTAGGGAAGCGTAATTATACATTAACATAATTAACTGTTTCTATGCACTTTTAGTCATACTACTCATTAAGCAATAGTACATATAATGTTATAGATACAGCCTAATGACATTTTTTTATATTTTCTTCTAATGACATACAAAATATTAATGTACATTTTGCGTTTTATACTTTAATTTTCCAAATTTTTTGACTTAAAATTTTGTTAGGTTTTAGTTAAAAGTACGAGCAATGATATACTCGTTGCTTTCAGTATAGGTAGTATGTAAAACTTTTGGAACTACATACTTAACACCATCTACATTTTCAAGAACTTGATATTTGTATTCAACTACAGTTACCAAAAGTTCTTCACAACATGCCAAGGTAAGACGACAATGAGCTGTGTTTTGTGGTTTGAAGGTATAATAAATTGTGTTGTAATTAACGTATATTGCCAGTACTTGACGAAACAGCTTTATAGGAAGGGAGGGGGAAGAAAGAAAGTGTAAAGAATTGAAAATTTAGCGTTGATAAATACATCAAGGGGAAAGCAAACCTTTGAAATTAGAATATCTGTGAGATATAAGAAGAGTAAGGAAAAGGCAAAGCAAAGGCAGAACAAAGGCAGGGCAAAGGCAAGATAAGACTAAAGCAAAAGCAAGGCAAGCGTAGGACAAAGGTAAAGCAAGAGTAGGGCAAGTCATTAAAGGATAAAACATTTTAGTCTAACGTAGCCGAGAGCCTTGGCCTCAAGGCTATAACTTGTAGCCCTAATCCAGAACCCTAGCCCTAGCCCAGAATTCTAGCCCGGAACCCTAGTCTAGAGCCTTAACCCAAAGCCCTAGCCCAATGCCCTAGTCCAAAGCAATAGCCCAGAGTCCTAGCCCACAGCCCTAGCTCAGTGCCTTAGCCCAGAGCCCTAGCCCAGAGCTATAACTTAACAACCTAACCTTGAGTCCTAGCCCAGATCTCTACCTCTAGCCCAGAGCCCTCGCCCAGAGCCCTCACCCAGAGTCCTAGCCCAGCGCCCTAGCTCCGACCTAGTCCTGATCCCTAGCCCAAACTCTAGTTTTAAACTTTCTTCCAGTTTACCTTAATGACAACTTGTTTGTGACGCAGTTGCACTTTTCCTTATTCTCCCCGCTTTTTTTCCTTTCTTTATCACTAACACGCAACCTACACGGAACATAACATTTGGACGGAATTCGAAATTTGTTTCGAATAAGCGCTCTCTTTTCGAGACACGAGCCTTCACGTCGCTGCCGTTCTCTCTCAACGTTTTTCGCTTTTTTGCTTGTTCATTGATTCGAGAGTGAAATTGTGTTTGGGACTGGGCGTTTGTGTTTTTTTCCCCGTCTTGAGGCAAATACATTTTATGTTGCCTGAGGGTTTTAAGGGTTTTTGTGATTTTTTTAAAAATTTTTTGGATTTTTGATATAGGGGTGGATTTTTATATGTAGGTTTAATTTAGGGGTGGATTTTTAATTGTGAATTTGGTTTAAGGGTTGATTTTTAAAACAGTATCCGGCTCAAAATTTTTTTTTATGTTTTGAAAAGGGAGAGGGAGGAGAGGGGGCAGGGATTTTTTTTGTTTTAGGGCGCATTTTTTTTTAAAAGCTAAAGCGTTTTTTACAAAACAAAAAATGGCAATAACTTTTTTTACAAAACAAAAAATTGCAAGAACTTTCTTTACAAAATGAAAAATTGCAAGAACTTTCTTTACAAAATGAAAAATGGCAATAACTTTCTTTACAAAATGAAAAATTGCAAGAACTTTCCTTACAAAGCAAGAAATAGCAAGAACTTTCTTTACAAAACAGAAAATAGCAAGAACTTTCTTTATAATTAAAAAAATGGCAACAACTTTTTGTACAAAGCAAGAAATGACAGTTACTTTTTATACAAACTAAAAAATGGCAAGAACTTCCTATCCAAACCTATTTAGTGCCATTATTAGTTACAGCCAAGTTAAAACAACTCCAAATTTTGTTGTTGACCCAAAATAAATTTAAATTTTAAACCAATTTCGAAGAAGACCGTGGTGTTTCAAAGAAAATAAAAAATATTCTTTTAGTCTTTGTGAACCCTACGACGAACTTAATTGAATAGTGCTCGTCTTTTTTGAACAAACAGAAAAACAGCTGATAAGAGAGGGTTAACTATAACATTTTTTATATTATTTTTTTTGAAAAATTGTTTTTATCAGCTGTAAAATTTTAAATTTTAATATGCTACGGTTTGGCTGGGTAAGGTATTATAAGATAAGTTTGTAGGGTAAGGTCTAGCGAGGTAAAATAAGGTTGGGCTTGGTTGGACAGGATAGGTTAAGGTCAGGCTTGGTAAGGCAGGGTAGAGTAAGGTTGGGTCTGGCAGAGCAGTGTAGGTATGTTAAGTAGGGCAAGGCAAGGCAAGGCAAGGCAAGGCAAGGCAAGGCAAGGCAAGGCAAGGCAAGGCAAGGCAAGGCAAGGCAAGGCAAGGCAAGGCAAGGCAAGGCAAGGCAAGGCAAGGCAAGGCAATTGGTGGCCAAAAAATAGTTTTTTAGCAAATTTTTTAAAAATTTTTTGTTTGTTCCCAAGTCTTGTTTCCAAGTCCCTGTAAGTATAAATGTACTTTTACAGATGTACCCACCAGTATTCATTAGTTTTTGCTTAATGTTAGGTGTGAATATGCTGCTTTTGAAGCCAGACAGCGTGCGAACAAACCATACTTTTTGTTTCGAACACTTTTATATTTAACTACCCTTATCTTTTTTGCTTTGTAGGGACGTTAAAGAGCAAAAAAACTTTTTTTGTCGCTTATTTAAGAATTTTTACTTTTTCAACTTTATAAAATGGCAGGACAAAAGATAGGCTAGGCCGGGTAGGGCAGAGCAAAGCATGGCAAGGCAGGACAATTTTTAGAGAGAAGTAGGGCTAGGGCTAGACATGGAGAATGGGCGGGGTTGGACCCATTTTTCAGGCCCGGCATGGATCAAAGCAAGGCAGGGCATGACAAGCGATAAGGTTTCTATATATAATAGTTACTGCTCTTTTTGACCTAAAAAGTAAATATTATGGTGATATTGTGTTTACTTTATATAGTTATATTGACACGGAACTATTATTATGCGAATTGAATTCTCTTTTTGTTTCTTTTAGTCTTAGCCCAGCGCTTTAGCCCAGAACTCTATTTCAGAGCCCTAGCCCAGAGCCCTAGCCCAGAGCCCTAGCCTAGTGCCTTGGCCCAGCTCCGCTTAGCCTAGTCTTGGCTTGAAACTTAAACAAGTTTTAAACGTAATTTTGATTCTAGCCTCAGCTTCGGTTCTAGCTCTGAGCCAACTCAGCCCAGTATATTCCGGCTTAGCCTTACCATACACTAAAATGGCCTAGCCTTCCTATAACTTACCTTTGTTCCTTAGCCCTTTAACTTAGATTTTCTTTTGCTTTACCCTTGCCCTTATCCCCACCCTCTCCTCTACCCTACAGTTTTTATAATCTACGGGTATAACTTTTATAATCTACCGCTAAAGCCTTTAAAGATTATAAAAGCATAAACCCGGGCCGGTGTCATTAAATAACGGCGGATTAGGGAAATTTCTTATAAAGGAGAAACGTGTAAATTGAAAGCCGAGAGGGCAGAGGGAAAAGGAGAATATTAGAAACATTTGTGATGTTTGGTGTCTTCGCTGCTTCCATTTTTCGCGGTGTAACAAGTGCAAAAAGAGCGAAATTTTTATTTTTTTTCACAGTTTGAAGAAAGTTCCGATTTTCTCAATAATGAGTTATTATGCAACCTATTTTACGTAACTTTTTGTATATTTATTTTTTTTTGTCTTTTTTCTAGCAATTTAAATAAAATTTTAGCTAAGACTGAGAAAAGGACTACGGCTAAAGTTAGGGTAGCGCAGGTATACGGCTAAAGAAGGCGGGCAAGGACAGGACAGGGTTAAGCAAAGCAGTGTAAAATACAGAGCCGAACAGGACACAGCAAAGCGGTGAGCATGAAAGGGTAGAGCAGGGCGGGGTAGGGCAAGTCAAAAAACGTCAGGGTAGGGGGAGACAGAGCAGGTTTGGGAAAAGCAAGGCAGCGAAGGGAAGAGCAAAACAGGCAGGACAAAGGAAGGGCAAAGGCAGGGCAAAGGCAGGGCAAAGGCAGGGCAAAGGCAGGACAAAGGAAGGGCAAGGCAGGGCGGAACGATAATCAGTGTTAGGGCTAGAAATAGGAAACGTCCTAGCAAAATTTAGGTCGGGCCGGGCCTAAAAAATCAACCCGGCCCGTTGCCCATGTCTAGTTAGGACAAACGCTAGGTAAAAGGCTAGGACTAGAGCCGGCTAAAACTTTTTTGTTACGTAATTTTACACAATTTGGGTATAATATTACGTCACACTATAGTTTTTTTTTAATATTTTCAACAATTATGTATTATGTCTTTAAAAGTTGTTTTGGTATAAGCAATATTCCCATTTGTAGTTCCTCTTTGTTAACACGATATAATACGTTTTTACTTTACTTAAAGAAAAATGTTTTTGGTATTGCTGGCTTAAATCCTAGTATTCCGTTAAATTTTTAAAATTTTGACAATTTTTAACTATTTTTTGAAAAAAAGCTATACAATATGAATAAAAAAGATTTCTTTTATATTTATTTCTCTTTATTTATATGAATAACCATATCAAATACTTTTTTTGATGTCAAAAACACCTATTACTTTTTCTTTTTTTATAAGATTATGACAATATCTTATAGCTTTTTTAATACTACAACAATGTAAATCTTTTCTGCTAGCTCAAAAAATATACAATACCTTCAGACTTCTCCACCAAGCTATGAAATGGAATAACATAGACATGAACAACACTCAGCATCTGTTAGATTCAGGTGCACCATCAACGTCGTCTTCAACTAACGACGAGACTAGTCCACAGTCGTTGCTAGAAGCCAATTCACCTTATAACTCTAATATCAAAGCGTTGATGGCCGTAGGGAAGATGATGGCGGATCAACTAGCAAACTCTCAAATGAGTTCTCAATCACAACTCCTGAACAAGATTGCTATTAAGATTGAGGCTACGAATGACGATAGGTCTGATCCGTCTAGTGTTAGCAACAATAATGCCAACTTTGGGTCGCCGATGAGTGATGGGGATGGTAAGATTCATATTTTTTGCTTGGCGTTTTAGGCTTGTCAAATTTTAAGTAGGGCTTAAGCATGCTTTTTGGACAAGGCAGAAATCGAATCTCGGTTAGGCTTAGAAGGAAAGACGTGCGAAAGCCGAGCCGCAGTCACGCAGAGATCAAACAAAAGCCGGGCTAAAGCTGGGTCAAAGGCGGGCGAAAGCGTTGCCAAAGCCGGGCCAACGCCGGGCTAAAGCCGGGCTAACGCCGAGCCAAAGCCGGGCCAAAGCCGGGCCAAAGCCGGGCCAAAGCCGGGCCAAAGCCGGGCCAACGCCGGGCCAAAGCCTGGCCAACGACGGGCCAAAGCCGGACCAAAGCCGATCCAAAGCTGGGCCGAAGCCTGACCACAACTGGACCGAAGCTATGCCAAAACTGGACAAATTTTGGGCCGAATTCTGTCTAAAGCTGGGCCAAAGCTGGGTCAAAGGCTGACCACGGCCAAGCCAAAGCCAAGCCAAAGCCGGGCCAAAGCCGATCCAAAGCTGGGCCGAAGCCCGACCACAACTGGACCGAAGATATGCCAAAACTGGACAAATTTTGGACCAAATTCTGCCTAAAGCTGGGCCAAAGCTGGGTCAAAGGCGGACCACGACCAAGCTAAAGCCAAGCCAAAGCCGAGCTAAAACCGGGCCAAAGCCGAGTTAAAGACGAACCGACGTCGGGCGATTCAGGACAAAGCCGGGTCACAGAAAGCTCAAATCGGGACAAATGCGAAAGCCAGGCAGAAGCCGATACAAAGCCAAACAGAATCTGGGCTTGTTTAATGTCAGACCTAGCCTTGTAAGGCTGCAAAGCTTGGGTTGGGCAAAATATTAAAAGTTTAGAGTTTACTACATTGTTATGCCTATTAACGTTCTGTTTTTAAATTTCGTATTTTTAGATCGAAACGGGCCCAGGTTTTGTGTAGTTTGTGGAGACGTTGCCTTTGGAAACCATTATGGAGCTGTTTGTTGTAATGGGTAAGTTATTGTGAATAGTGTTGGGTAGGTAATTTTAACCTTGAACAAATACTGCCAAATTTCAATTTCTAAAAATTTTAATTTTTTTTTTATTTTTTAAAGTTTTTTTTTAAATTAGTAAATGTAAAAAAAGTGTTGCCATTTCAGATGCAAAGGGTTCTTCCGCCGAAGTGTTTGGAGTAAACGAATGTACATGTGCCGTTTTGGGCATGACTGCGAAATTCGAAAAGGTAAGTCGCTAATTTTGCTCTAATCCTACTTTCTACCTAAGCATGTTTCACTTTTTATAAAGGGTATGTTAGATTATGGTTGACATATACCTATTAGGATAGGGTAGGATAGGATAGGGAAGGGTAGGGTAGGGTAGGGTAGGATAGGATAGGGTAGGGTAGGGTAGGGTAGGGTAGGGTAGGGTAGGGTAGGGTAGGGTAGGGTAGGGTAGGGTAGGATAAGATAGGGTAGGATAGGATAGGGTAGGGTAGGGTAGGGTAGGGTAGGGTAGGGTAGGGTAGGGTAGGGTAGGGTAGGGTAGGGTAGGGTAGGGTAGGGTAGGGTAGGGTAGAATAGGGTAGGGTAGGGTAGGGTAGGGTAGGGTAGGGTAGGGTAGGGTAGGGTAGGGTAGGGTAGAGCAGGGTACGGTAGAGTAAGGTAAAACATTTTTACTTACCGTAACTTAAAAACCTAGCAATTTACTACCGTATCTCTAATAATTATCATCGCCTTACGTTCCATTACCGTAACCCGCAATCATTTCTTAAGAACAGCACGTATTAAAGTTGAGCATGTTGGACTTAGATTAGCTTACTACATTATTTCAAAAGTAAAACATGTAGTCGGGGTTCACATCGACCATGTACATATAGACGCATGTACGTATGTAGCTATTAATTACGAGGACATTAATTTAGCTGGGGCGTATGTTTATAATGAGCTTATGTTTGACAACGTGGGGCTGGGACGTTTATGGTTTTTGAGCTAATTTATTAAAAAACTGAAAAGTTTTTAGCTTTTTTTGAATTTGAATCTGAATTTTATCAAGATATACCTTCTTTGGAAAAAGCGGGGTTCTTTATAAAAAAAAAGTATTTAAATAAAGAGTCGGGACCATTTTTTAACGAATGGGACTAAATGGGACTATTTTTAAGAAGGTAAGATGGACCTTTACCTAAAAAGATATGATGATCACTAAGAAGGTGGGGCTACCTCTATGGAAGCAAGACTGCTTCTAAAAAAATAGGACGTTTTTTATGGCTAAGTCTTTGGCTAGGGCTCTGGGCTCTAGGCTAGGGCTCTAGGCTAGGGCTCTGGGCTAGGGCTCTGGGCTAGGGCTCTGGGCTCTGGGCTCTGGGCTAAGGCTCTGGGCTAGGGCTCTCAGAGATAAGACTCTGGGTTAGTGTTCTTGTAGAGCTTTGGGCTAGGGCTAGTTAAGTCAATTGTAATTTTTTTCAAATTTTTAAAATTTTTTTTAAGTACCGTTTGTTTGTTAAGAAGGTAAGACTATTTCTAAAAAGATGAAATGATTTTTATAAAGATGGGGCTATTTATAAAAAGACGGGACCATTTTTAAGAAGAGTACACCACTCTTGATGAGATAAAGCTAATTCCATAAAGATATCACTATTTTATAAAAGATTAGACTATTCATAAAAAAATTAGGACCATTTTTAAAAAAGAAAGACCATTTATAAAAAGGCTTTACTATTTTAATGTAGTTAAACTCATTTTAAAACGATGAGACCATTTCATGGAGTATCTTCTCTACTTTAAAACTACAAGTTTTTATAACAATCATTCCCAAACAATGTCAAAAATAATTAAACCCACTAGAAATGGCATTCTCACACCTCACCGAAAATACAATTATGGTTTACAACACTCGGGCGCGAAGAAAAAATTAGCAGTCATAACGACGGTTTTGTGCATGTTTTTTGTCGCTATGTATACACATACAGAATGAACCCTGAACCTTGTTGGGCCTTGAGGCGGTTTTTCGTGCTCGCGGAGCACGCCTTTCGCCATGGACTTTTTAATAAATTACACTTAATAAAACATGTTGTGTCCTGGGTTGGTAAAGGTGGATTTTTAGGAGGGGTTGGGATGGGAATGACTGTTTTAAAGGTTTTTTGGTATTATTAAGCTAATAGGTTTAAAAATTTTAAAAAATTTTTGGGTAGGGCAGGGTAAATTAGAAAACTAACAAAGATACATAAAGGTATGGTTGACATGAGCCGAAATAGACTGTGGTAAGCCCAGAGCAACTAAGACCTAGGCTAGGATTAGGGCTAGAGATAAAGCTATAGTTAAGCCTAAAGCTAGAGCTAGAGCTAACGCTTAGGCTATATAGGCCGTTTGTAAAAATTGTTTTTGGGTTAGGGCTAGGCTGGGCGGGGTTAAGACAGACTAAGCTAAACTCTGCTGGGCTATGCCGTTTCAAAATTAGGGTTAAAAGTTGGGCTAGCACTAGGGTCATAGGCTAACAAAGTCTTGGGGACAGAGATCGGGGCTAGGGCTTTCAGTATGGAACTAGGGCTCAAGGCCCGGGAATCGAGCTTTAGGGCTCGGGCTGGGGCTTTGGGGCTAGGGCTTTGGGGCTAGGGCTTTGGGGCTAGGGCTTTGGGGCTAGGGCTTTGGGGCTAGGGCTTTGGGGCTAGGGCTTTGGGGCTAGGGCTTTGGGGCTAGGGCTTTGGGGATAGGGCTTTGGAGCTAGGTCTTTAATTTTTGAAAATATAAAAAAATTTTAAGGTTTTGTCTATTAAAAATTTTAAAAAAATTTAATTTTCAGACACTCGTAACGTCTGTCGCGCCTGCCGCCTCCGCCGCTGCTTTCAATTGGGTATGAATCCAGAAGCGGTTCAAATGGAAGATGCTCGTAATGGAGTTGCCGATCCACAATGTAATGAATGGATTGCCAAAATGAGAGCGACCTACACCAATCTAGATGTGTCAACTCGAATACATAAAGAAAAAGAAAGAATTCGGACTGCTGACTCAGTTACTCAAACCAACATAACAGCCAATCACTTTGGTCAACCTAAGCATAGGGTTGGTTGTGATCCGACGAAAATACTTGACACGCCCAAGGCTGAATTCATTAGAGAAGATTTTAGAAATTTGATTATAAGAACAGTCTTTTTGGAACAAGAAACTTGGCAAAAGACTGAAAGCGGAGTTAAAGCAAGACCTAGCGGATCACAGATTTCAACCTTTGAGGAGGCTTTCAATAGTCCTGAACTGGTTTGTGCGAGGTATCCGGTAAGTTAATGTGTTACTTTGTTGTGTTGGGCGTGTTTGGGTAAAGGTAATATACTGTAAACTAAGGTAGTGTAAAGTAATATAGTATATGGTAAGATAGAGTAATTTAGGGCATTGTAGGGTAGGGTACAGTATATCAGAATAAGATACTGTAATTCATTGTAGGGCATTTTAAGGCAAAATACTGTATGCCAAAAAAAGATAAAAAAGTACTGTAACTCAGAGCAGGGTACTGTAAGTAGAAGTACTGTATGTCTGAGAAAAATATTGTAATTCAGAGTAGTGTCGTGTAAGGAAAAGTACTGTACATCAGAAAAAGATACTGTAATTTACGGTAGAGTACTGTAAAGAAAATTACTGTACGTCAAGGCGTAGCAGCATGAAGCACTGTAAGTCTGACTATTCTAAAGTAGAGTACTGTAGATCACAGTTTCGTAGGTTAAGGTACTGTAAGTCAAGGCAGGATTTTGCAAGTTAAAGTAGGGTGTTGTAAGAAACGGTACTGTAAGTCAGGGCACTGTTGCTTAACTTACTGTATGTTTATGTAGAGTAGGATACGGTAATTCAAGATAGTTAAGTAGAGTACTGTAAGTCAGAGCAAAATATTGTCTGTTAAGATAGAGAGTAGTAAGCAAGCGTACTTTACGTTAGGGCACAGAAGCTTAGAGTACTGTAAGTTTGGGTAAGATAGAGTAGGGCTTTGTAAAGTAAAGTTATATGACATAAAGTACTGTAACACAAAATAGCACTGAGTTGGCTACTATAAAAGCAAATTACTGTAATGTTTTTTTAATTTTTTGTTACTATAAGAAACCTTTTTTAGCTAAACTTCAACGGAGAAAACGTGATGAAAGTAGGAGACCTATTAGATGGCTGGCGACGACATTTCACATTTTACATTGACTTTTGTAAATGCATGCCCGAATTCCGCAATCTACCTCCAAGTGATCAAATAGCTTTGGCTAAACGACGCGTAGTTAATATGATCTGGCTAATGCATGCTTATTACACTTCACTTACTGATAAGATCGGGTTCTGCTCTTCGAATGGCGTTTATCATCCAGCCGAACACGATTTGAGATACGATGAAGCTGATGAAACGTGAGTATTGTACTATAATAGTTCGTGCTGAATCGTAATTTTAAAAAAAAATTTAAAATACAGTATAAAATAAAATCTTACTGTAATATTAATAAAATAAAAATTTTCAGAATAAAAACATTTTACGCCAACTTGTTGCCATTTTTTGTCAGTGACATGATTATCCCAATGAGGCAGCTCAAAATGGACTTAGTGGAATATGTCCTTATCAAAATGATCACCTTTTTCAGAGATGGTAAGCTACATATTTTGAAATTTGATTAAAAAAAACAGAGTGGTAAGTCAGGATAGAGCCGGGTAGGGTAAGGTAGAGTCGGGTTCAGTAGGGTAGAGTACATTAGGGTAGAGTACGGTAGTATAGAATGAAGTAAATGACCAGTTTAAGAATTTAAGGAGTTGTTAGGTAGGGTAAGGATAATTTTATTTTGGGTGGGATTTTTGAGGCAAGACAAGCTAAGCAAAGGGTAATAAAAGCCAGATGAAGAGTTAGAGTAAAGGATATGTTAAGGCTAGAAAAACTTTGGGCAAGGTAGGTTTTTTTGAGTAAGGTTGATTTTTGAAGTTGTGGAGTAGAATAACCACTCCATTACAGTAAAATCATGTAAGTTAGTGTAGGGTACGATAGGGTATAGTAGAATACGGTAGGGTGGGGTAAGGTAGGGTAGGGTAGGGTAGGGTAGGGTAGAGTAGGGTAGGGTAGGGTAGGGTAGGGTAGGGTAGGGTAGGGTAGGGTAGGGTAGGGTAGGGTAGGGTAGGGTAGGGTAGGGTAGAGTAGGGTAGGGTAGGATAGGGTAGGGTATGTTAGGGTAGGGTAGGGTAGGGTAGGGTAGGGTAAGGTTAGTTTTTTATACTTATTCACCATTATAAAATGCATTTTTAGAATTTTTTGTATCAAACGAAACACGGAAAAAGCTGGAAGACTATAAGCAACGTTACACATTAGCTTTGGATGCTTACATCAAGTCCAAGTACGATGATCATTACGAAGCTTTGGATCGATTTGCCAATCTATTGAATATCATCCACTCAGTTTTGGTAAGTTTTAAAACTTTTTTCTATGCTAGTACCAAAGTTATAAAAAAAATTAAGTTTTGGTACGTTTGGTACTAAAGCTTAGTTTTTGGTACTATTGGTACTAAATTTTAATTTTTAGTACTATTTTATATAATTCCGTACTAAATAGCATGGAAATTGAATTGCATTACTCTTTTAAACTGATTTGCCAAATATAGTACTAAATAGCACCATTTCAGTACCTAACGTCAAAAATGAATGAAAGAGTAGAATTAAGTTCTTTCTTCAACATCATCGACTTTGACAAACTGACGAAAGAAATTCATGCTACAGAACTTTTCTACAACCTTGATGATCCTAATAATATACCAGTGACTCCAGCTGCACCAATAGTACCAAGGAACATTGATCCTTCGGCTTATGAGAATCCGGATTTCTTGGCTACTTCGAATGTTGCCAGGATCAAATATGAACACTAGCACTACTAGCGGGTACTAGTGGTACTGTGATTTAGTATTGGGGTACTGTAACTTTGTATTGTGGTAAGAAAACTTGTTTAGTCAAAATGTTTTGAGCATTGGTGTTGCATAGTACTGTAAAACATAGTAATATTTAGTATCGTATTGTGTAGTATGGTACTATATAGTACTATAATGTTTATTTTTGTACTGTATAGTATTATACTGTATAGTACCGTAAAAAATAATATTGTAGTACATAGTATCATACTTTCATAAAACTCCATGACAGTACTATACTATACTATGCAGCACCGTGCTGTACCAACACTAATTTTTATATCACTTTGTATTATACTATATAGTAACCTACCTGTTAATGTACATACTCTATCACATTGTTATATCCGTACATACCTACATGTACATACTGATCACACTTTGTAGTTCGTATATCTTATACTTTAGTTTTAAGTACGACTAATCTGTTTATGCACCTTTATGTTCATACCCTTTATATACGTAGTTAAATATTAAATATTATGTCTAGGTAATCATGTACATACTATTTTAAATTAGTTTGATGATTTTTTAGTCGGATGACATTTCCTAGTGGAATATACTTTTTGAAACCCGTTGCTTTGAAATTGACATCACTTTTGATTTTTCATATATGTATTTAAAAAAACCATATCTAGTCTTGTTTTAAAATTTTTTATGTAAATTTTTAAAATTTTGAGAAAATAAAAGATTTATTAATATGAGTTTTACTAAGCACAATAACTAACGTGCTTGACAATTTTATAGAGCTTTAGCCAGATATATTTCTTATAAGTTTAACTTTCTGATCGGGCTTACTAGGGCTGAAGCTAGAGCTGAAGCTAGAGCTGAGGCTAGGGCTCAGGCTAGGGCTGAGGCTAGGGCTGAGGCTAGGGCTGAGGCTAGGGCTGAGGCTAGGGCTCAGGCTAGGGCTGAGGCTAGGGCTGAGGCTAGGGCTGAGGCTAGGGCTGAGGCTAGGGCTGAGGCTAGGGCTGAGGCTAGGGCTGAGGCTAGGGCTGAGGCTAGGGCTGAGGCTAGGGCTGAGGCTAGGGCTGAGGCTAGGGCTGAGGCTAGGGCTGAGGCTAGGGCTGAGGCTAGGGCTGAGGCTAGGGCTGAGGCTAGGGCTGAGGCTAGGGCTGAGGCTAGGGCTGAGGCTAGGGCTGAGGCTAGGGCTGAGGCTAGGGCTGAGGCTAGGGCTGAAGCTAGGGCTGAGGCTAGGGCTGAGGCTAGGGCTGAGGCTAGGGCTGAGGCTAGGGCTGAGGCTAGGGCTGAGGCTAGGGCTGAGGCTAGGGCTGAGGCTAGGGCTGAGGCTAGGGCTGAGGCTAGGGCTGAGGCTAGGGCTGAGGCTAGGGCTGAGGCTAGGGCTGAGGCTAGGGCTGAGGCTAGGGCTGAGGCTAGGGCTGAGGCTAGGGCTGAGGCTAGGGCTGAGGCTAGGGCTGAGGCTAGGGCTGAGGCTAGGGCTGAGGCTAGGGCTGAGGCTAGGGCTGAGGCTAGGGCTGAGGCTAGGGCTGAGGCTAGGGCTGAGGCTAGGGCTGAGGCTAGGGCTGAGGCTAGGGCTGAGGCTAGGGCTGAGGCTAGGGCTGAGGCTAGGGCTGAGGCTAGGGCTGAGGCTAGGGCTGAGGCTAGGGCTAAGGCTAGGGCTGAGGCTAGGGCTGAGGCTAGGGCTGAGGCTAGGGCTGAGGCTAGGGCTGAGGCTAGGGCTGAGGCTAGGGCTGAGGCTAGAGCTGAGGCTAGGGCTGAGGCTAGGGCTAAGGCTAGGGCTGAGGCTAGGGCTGAGGCTAGGCTGCAGCTAAAAAAACATATTGTCAACCTTTTTTAATAATACGTGCTGAAATACACTAATATTGCAATATTTTGATGATGAAATAGTAATTGTTACCAAATAATCGCTTTGCGTATCTACCAATTACTGCTTTGTTAATCTTGCAAAAAATTTGAAAGAATCTCAGAGACAAAGCAAATCCGTTTAGTACTTTGCATTGTCATCAAGATAAAACGATGGTTTTGGCGAAATGAACTCTTGGCATTTAATTTTAAAATGGCTGTTCTTGAAAATTGCTTTTCTGGTTTTGGTATTTCATAGTGTTAAAAATAGCAAAATCAGTTGAAAAATTATGTTTTAGTATCTTTTTCTTAGTACTGTAAAAATGGTACTACATAGTACGTATACTAAAAATTTCAAAATAATTTTTTTTTGTGTTTTTTAAAATAAAAATACTTAAAATCAGTTTAGAAAAACAAAGTAAAAAGGGTTGAAGGCAGGGTACACAAATAATTTAACTGTTTACTTTTCATTTCACTGTCAATAGAGCTATGGCACGTTGTGTTAAAGATAAATAGAACGTCATGAAGCGTAATTTTTGTATTTTCCTTTGGTAAAATTTCAATTTTTTTTATATGCCAGGAGACAAAAATGTGTGTAAGCCTACCTTAAGTTCAAACTAAAGCCTAGCCTCAAGCATGATCTTTAGTTTAAGCCTACGCCTAAGTCAAAGCTAATGCATAATCTGTATTATTAAGTCATTCACTGAATTCTGCTCTTCTTTGTAAGCTAATTGCTAGTTATGAGGCGCAGAATTAAGTGAACGACCTAATATAGTTTGAGGTCTAAAAATTAATCAATTTTTGCGCAATTACCTAATTTAGATGCTACAACAACATAGCCTCAAAGAAATTGCAAGAAACCGTATTACGCAACTTTTTCTTATGTAATATTTATGATTTTTTTAATACTTGCCTCGGTGTAAAACGACCCAACGAATGACTGCGAGTGCTGGGATATCACTTCATTTTTCTTCGGGGTATCATGACTTCATTGATTTTATTGGTTTTGTTTAAATTACCGGTCGATTTTATTTAATTTGAGTTTAGGAGTGCAAAACCATAGCTTAAGTTTATGCCTGACGTTAAGGCTTAAGTTTAATCCCAATTACAACTTTACTTCTATGTTTAAGGCTTCGCGTCAGCGATTGAAGTCTTAGTCTAAACTTTGACTTTAGCATTAACCTTGACATGAGTTTTAGCCTTAGCCTTTAGCCTTAGCTTTAGCTTTAACCTTAGCCTTAGCGATTGAAGTCTTAGTATAAACTTTAACCTTAGCATTAGCCTTAGCATGAGTTTTAGCTTAGCCGATTAAAGGTTACAGCTAAGCCAAAACCTAATTCTGAGTCTAAGATTAAGCCTAAGTTTAAACCTACCTTACGTTGTTTAAAGCTATATTAAAAGCTGCTAAAACGCCTGACTAATCTCTGGTTTTGATGTTTTTAGCCAGAGTAATAAGTATTTTAAAAACTTTTTCAGTGAGTCATTAAACAATTAAGATTAACACCCTTTTATCGAATTTGTGTCGTTTTGTTTAATCTAGCTGTAGGCGGATAAATTTAATTTTAGTGTAGGGTCTAACTTAATTTTACTTTAATTGTCTTAATTTTTTAAAAATTATGTCAGATTTAATTACATTGTTTTAAATTTTTTAAATTTTGTCAAAATTTTGAGTTTTTTCGAAATTTAATTAAAATTTTAAGAATTTTTTAAAATTTAATTAAAATTTTGCCTATTTTAGGTATGTTGTCTACGACATGATATGACTATTTGATTATGCTTGTATTATCAATATTGTTATTGTCCCATGTTAGTACATTGCCGTGCTTAACGCATATAGGCTAATTTAAAATTGACTGCAGTTGACAGGTTCTTGCATTTCTTATTTGAATACAACCTTTTGTTTATATTATCATGTTAGCGCTACCGGGTTTGGGGTTATCTATGATTTACTACATCACAAGTACTTGATCATTGATTATAGGGCTACATAGTGCATCACATAGAAACATAACGGTACATTTCGGTACGTATCATCTTTTTGAGTAGGGTGAAGTAGGGCAAAAGTTGTGTAAGATAGAGCAAATGTAGGTCCATAAGCATGAATGGGGTACAACAAGTGAAGGCGACTATGTAAGCTCTAGAGTAGGGCAAGTATGAGAGAATAAATAATGGTAAGACAGGGCAATTCCGAGGGCAATAAGTAGGGCTAGGGCAGGGAAACTTTAGGGCTATAAGTAAGAGTGTGAGAGGACAACAGAGGTTGTTAGGCCAGGGCTGGCTTAATATTGTAAATGCCATGACATAGCGAATGTAAAACAAACATTAGATCTAAGATAGAAGCTAGGCCTATGCTATAAGCAGGGCAGAACAGGACAATGCAAGGGGGTCAGCTTGTCGTCATTTCTGGGTTCGAATTAGATTTTCTGTAGTCTCAAAATGGCTAAGTAGCCTAATTTAAATTTGTTTACTTCTATTTAAAGGTTGGGACAACAATTTAACATTGGTAAAATTCAAAAAAATATTGTATTCTTTGAAAAAAGTAAATAAAGCTGTAGGTGAAGGTCTAAATGTAGAACGGAACGTTCTGCAAAAGAAATTACACCTGTTCTTAAAACTTTGCATATAATTAGAAAATAACTTTTTGGTTTTTTTTCTCAAAGAGGGCAGGGTAGGGCAGAGTAGGGTAAAGAATGGGCAAAGGCAGAGCAAAGGCAGAGCAAAGGCAGGGCAAAAGCAGGGCAAAGGCAGGGCAAAGGCAGGGCAAAGGCAGGGCAAAGGCAGGGCAAAGGCGGGGCAAAGGCAGGGCAAAGGTAGGGCAAAGGCAGGACAAAGGCAGGGCAAAGGCAGAGCAAAGGCAGGGCAAAGGCAGGACAAAGGGAGGGCAAAGGCAGGGCAAAGGCAGGGCAAAGGCAGGGCAAAGGCAGGGCAAAGGCAGGGCAGGCTAAGCAAAAACTTCTAAATTATCTAGCTTGAGGAAAGCTTATTACATGTATTTTGACATAGTAAATCCCACTCAAAAATAGCTTAAAGCCAAGGCTCCTTTTCAAGTTACATTGAAACGATAACACAATTTCCGTGTTTTTTCCGACTGTTCAACTTGTATATCTTTTACTTCCTTCTACGGTGAGCTCATGTTATAGACAAAGCTTATTTTTGTTAACTATAACGGGTGTTTTTTGCTGTGACAGCTTTGTGTGTGTAATATGGCACATGTTTCTCATTTTGGGCGAGATAAATTTAAAAAAAAACGAAGATGAAGGTGTCAAAAAAGTTTTTTTTTGTATAAGTTGTCACCAGCAGGCTAAAATGTTCAAAGTTTAGTTTTAGTGCTAAAATGGCAATAACGTTCTTTACGAAACGATAAATGGCAAGAACTTTCTTTACAAAAAATGGCAAGAACTTTCTTTACAAAACAAAAAATGGCGAAAACTTTCTTTACAAGTTATTTTTTTAACTTTTTGTCAAACCTATTAGAAAACTTAAGTTTTAGCAATTTTACCCACCCCCGCCGTTATTTTGAGGCTATTCCTCCTGCCTCGTAATCACTTGAGATTCGGGAAGTCGCCGGCGTAGACAAACAAATCGTTGGCACAGTTCCACATCAGTGACAGTCATTTTGTCCTAATTTGATAAACAAAGCCGAGACAACAAAAAAAGAGATTCAAGAGTTGAGAAAGGCGATAGATAAATACGCGATATAGGAAATAACAGGGAAGAAAGGCGGTTTTTTGGCCTAAATTGTCCATTGTCCTACCTGATGACGTTTTTGTCGTAAAATGCGATTGTTTTGAGCAATTTTGAAAAAAATGAAAAATATAAGTGGGGGGGTAAAATTAAGTGATCGGCGTAATAGAACTAGGGTTTATGCAGAAGGAATACTTACAAAGAAAGTGCTCTACCTGCGCCGCTTAGAATCAGCTCAAAGTTTTTATATGAAGTTTTTGTCCTACTACCAATAGTAATTATAAGCGCCTCTAGAAACCGATTGACTATGTTATAATTAGTACTATATGTTACTATGTTATTGTTTTAGTTATATTTGTTGTTAAAATAAATATTTGATTAAAAAACCGTGTAACAAAACTTTTGGCGCACCCTGTACCAACGTACAAACAACTGAATTTACACCTAAACGCTTTTTTTTATATACGGTACTTTCTCTATATAAGCAACCCAAAGGGACCAATATTTTGTATTTACTACAAGGGGTGTTGTCTTTATAGAGAATTTTTTTAGTAAAAATTGACGTGGTGGTGTCAAATTTTGTGTTTACCTTTGTAACAGAACTTTTGGCGCGCCTTCTATAATGAGAGTTGCTTATACAGATGGTTCACTATATTGAGAGAGCAATGTATTTATATCAGTATATAGAAAAAGCATTGTATAACATCTTTGTTTAATATTGTAAGCATTGGTGTCTAATTTAGGATATTGTTTACTCAAAGTTGTTTTTGTTCAGTAGTAAAAAAATTTACGGCTTACAGTGAATTTCTAAAATAAATATTTTTAGCCTAAGTACCATGGTTTTATTTGATTAATTTCAGGCATATAAGTGAGTAGGGTAAAGTTAGCTGTGGGGTTAAAAGTGAGGCTTGGCTTAGTAAAGAGGAGGCTTAGGTGAATGCAAGATTAGGCTTAGGCTTTTGCGTTATGTTTGTCTAGAATCGCGGTTTAAGCTTTGGCTAACACTGAGACGTATATTCAGGCTAACAATTGTAAGGCTAGGCTTATGCTTACAACTAAGTTTAGTTAGAGCTGGAGCTAATGTAAGGCGTGGGTTAAGGCTGATTGTAGAGCTATGTTGGGGTTAGGGCAGGAAATGGCTAAATATTAGATTTAGCCTGAGGCTGTGGTCCGGGTTAGAGCTGAGACTAAGGCTGACGCTAAGGCTGACTCTGACGCTGCGGCTGTCTGAGGCTGGGTGCTGGGACTAAGGCTTGGACTTGGTCTTGGGCTGGCGCTTTTTTTATTTCAAAATAATGAAATTGCTGTTAATTAAAAATATTTTGAAGCATTTAAAACTCCGTCTATATAAGATATTAGAGCTTATTGTTAACATAATCGAGCAATTATGGTATTAAGTATGACAATTACAATGGCTGTTTAATGATCATAATGTTTTTCAAAGTTTCCGTCTGAATATATACATGTAGGTGAGCATTAAGTCTACCTATTTTTCAAATTTCAAAGAATTTTTAAAAAATTTTGAGTTTAAAGTTTGCCATTAATAATTTTAGTAACAGCACTTTTTGCGCACCCTGTAATTATATGCTATATGCTAGTCCAATTCAAAGTTTGTACCCAAATTCCGGTAATACGAGCAATGTGTTCACATTCCTTATTAGTTCTTACTCTCACTTTGAGATTAAGTATGTAGATGTGAGTAAAGTAATATTATTGTTCTTCGAACACAGTGTTTTCAAATGAGATTCGTTTAGGGTTTTGTTGACGGCTTGCCAAAGTACACATTCTCAAGGCTAAATTGCTTTGTAAGGTAGGTGTTGTAATTGTTGTAGCCATTTTGTGACGCGGTTAGTAAGGCTACAACATGGCTTAAATAGTAATAGGTTAAACGACTAGATATGGCTTTGTTAGGGCTAAGGTTAGGGCTATGGTTAGGGCATCGGTTGGGACTATGGTTATTGCTGGATAAAGGCTACGATTCATATTAAGCCATCTTTATAGCTAAGGTAAGGCCATGAGAAGACTGTGGTGGAAAACACGGCTAGGTTAAGGGTAAAAAAACGCTATTATTAAGGTTATGATACGGCTATAGCTAAGCTAAGATTTGGCTAAGGTAGTAAAGAAGAAAAAGCTACGGTTAGGGCTAAGACACGGCTATGTTAGATCTATAGTAAAGCAATAGTTGGGGCTAGGATAGGTATTTTAGGCTTTTTTAGGAATTAGGGTTAGTGATATGACATGGCAAGGTTATGGCTAGAATATGGCTAAGTTTGCGCTATGATAAGGCTTGGTATGGCTAAGGGTAGAGGAACTGGGATAAGTGTTAGGTTGTGGTAATCAATAATAAGCCTACTAATTATTTTTTTCTGCTCTATAAGTGTGGTAATGTTTGTCTCATACGAAATTTACGTATTAAAAGAAGTAAATTAATTACAAGAAAAACCGAAGAGTTTGGGTTTTGGGCTTAACTTTAACGTAGAATATGTGGGTGAAACGAGTCAAAGTGACGATTCTGAGGAAACAGTTTTGTTTTAGTCAACAAGATATTGTTCTTTCGACGTTTTTTATTATCAAAAGTCTACTATTTGGCAATG